AAAACACCACTAGATCAAAAAAACAGACGAGAAAAGACTGTACATAATAAAAGTAAAGAAGAGCATACAGGCTGTAAGGACAGAAAAAGTCCTTTCCTTTTCTTTGCTCTGGCCTTCCACAATTTATGAGAAGAATCTGATAATTAATCCCCAAGATTACAGGCTCCTCTGATTCAAACAGCCTTTGGTTCAAACTGCAGGACAAGATAAACTACTCTCAAGGCTACATTCTTGCATCTCCCTCCTCCTCCCCGCTATTTTTAACAACACAGGAATAATTCATACCAAAGCAGTGTCTAGTTAGTTAGAAAAGTTCCTTTCTCTACTCCCCTTCAAACAGGCCTCTTTTGAACTCTTCATTACTTTTGTTCTAAGCATGTTTTACAGGCATGGAAAAAATACTGATAAGACAGCGCCTTAGGAGATCTGCCGGACTGTCTTCTGGAAAGCAAACTAACTTTTTAAAACAACCCGCCCTGGTATCTGCTCAACTTCAATAGAATCCCCCCTCCCTTCCTGGCAATAGCCACTGCTTAAAAGAGCAAGGAAGGCTGAAACCCGTTTGGCTCAATGAATAGAGCGTCAGCTTGGGGACTGAAAGGTCCCGGGTTCGATTCCGGTCAAGGGCATGTACCTTGGTTGCGGGCATACCCCTAGTAGGGGGTGTGCAAGAGACAGCTGATCGATGACTCTCTCTCATCGATGTTTCTAACTCTCTATCTCTTTCCCTTCCTCTCTGTACAAAATCAATAAAATATATTTAAAAAAAAAAAAAAAAAAAAAAAAAAAAAAAAAAAAGAGCAAGCAAGCTTTGGTTCCCAGCCTTGTACTGACTAGCAATACTTGGCTCTTTGCTCCCTTGTTGGTAAAAACATTTTCCTCTCTGCATCTTTTCTAATTGTGAATTTTTTCACAGCCCCAGTCACTAGCCATACCGCAACACAGACTGTCAGACAAAAGATAAAACACTACTACCCGTAACCCTTAAAAGCTACCCTAATCTTGTAAACCAACCTCATAAGAAAGACCAGTGTGTCAGAGTAGATTTGATTTAAATAAAATTTAAGTCATTTATTAGGAGAGTATACTGTCCTCTTTCAACCCCAGTAAATCAACTAGAAAAAGATCCTTTTCTATCACTTCCCTGCTGTCTCAAACTGTGCCTGGCACATAGTAAGTTTTTAATTACTACTTATGAAATTATTAAAAGGATAAAATAATCAAACTATGACTTCCAACTTTGCACTTTATGGAGATATGCATAGAAATATATATATACATGGATGACTTGGATTTTTTTTATCCTTGATCTTGAAACAGAGCTGCCTATGTTCTCTAAAATAAAGGCAGTTTCAGAAATAAAAGGAAGCTTTTCTTTAATGCACAATGGGATATTTTGGATTCAGTGGTTTTTAAACTGGACAGACTGGTTTTGTTCTACATAACCTCTATTTCCTAATAAAGAATATCTTTGAGTTTCCTCTTGCAAAGATCCAAGTGGTAAAATACTCCTTTTGCAAACAAAAGATACACTATACATATTCATTCACAGCCAGTGATCTGACAAACCTACGTCATATGTTCAGTAAACATCCATCAGGCACACAAAAGCAAAATCGGTATTGTCTCTATAACTCAGAACAGATTAAAACACTATGCTGGCAATCAACCAACACAATCTGTCTAAGGATACAGCTGACCCTTGAACAACATGGTCTGAACTGCATGGGCCACTTATACATGCTCCCCCCCCCGCCCCCCATACATACCCATATTGCTTTCATCAGCATCTAGGAGCCCATGGATGCAGAGGGCTGAATGTATGCACTGATCTATGCCAATTTAGATAGGAGCCTTGAGGATCCTTTGATTTTAGTATCTGTGGGGGTCCTGGAAATAATCTATCCCCCACAGATAATGAAGAACAACTTAAGTTTTGGGGATGTCAAAAGTTATACATGGGATTTTTTTACTGTGTGGGGAGTTGGAGCCCTTGACCCCCTCATTTTTCAATGGCCATTTGTATAAACACCAGAAAAACAAGAAGTTCACGTAAGTAAATATTCTGAAGATTATTCAGTGAAAGGACATTAGTTATATCACATATGTTAATGCCTAGATAGTGGACTATTAAATTTCAGAACTTATATTGAGAATAAGTCAACAGAGGTAGAAAAGAGGTAATTTAAAAGTTTAAGATCAATCAAAAACTCAAACAAAAGCTTCATGAAATGCAAAAACTCACATTTCAGGAAGATAGTGGTATTTTTGAAGAGGATCTTTCCAAAACTAAAGTAATTTTTTCCCTGCAAAGATAAAGGAGAAAGTTAATCAGCATGAGAACAACTCCCAAGGTAAAATATAAATAGTATAAAAGCCTAAATTTATAAAATGTTGAAGTTTACTTTAACAACAACAACAAAAAAGGCAACTATAGCCTTCCTTTTAGTAAAATTCCACGATATCCAAACTGCAGCATTTTGAAGCTTTGGTACAGACAAGATCCCCTCACACCCCCACCCTCAGGCTCTGAAGCAAGTACTCAGGAAGGAAGGCTGCAAGAAATCCCAACTTAAATCGTCACAGGAGGTACTCCGTTATCAGCTCATCCCCTTCACCCACTCATCACTGGTCACAATAACCAATCATAAAAAAAGAGAAACTATTCAATAAGAAAATAACCAGATTTAACTCATTTTAGTAACAAGTAAACACCTAAATTGAGAACCTAAAATTCTCCACCAAATGAACAAAAACTATCATGCTTGCCATATAAAATCTCAAGTAAGTTACGCTCCAGTGAGCAGAGCAGAATGAAACAAAAAGGCCACCGCGGCTTTAGTAGTCCTCACCCTTTTCCGCATTTCCCTACCTGCATCTGATTTTTGTCTGCTCACAGGACCGTAGCTCTGATTCAAATTAAGTTTTGAAAGGGGGAAGGGGACAGACAGAAAAGGTAAACCTATCTAGCTACTTGTCCAAAAGAATAGCCTTATTACCATATCAAATTTTACAATACTGTGTCTTCCACGTTAGCCGTTCTAGTATTTACAACACATTGTGTTAATGCCTAGGGTTCCTAATCACAGGGCAAAACTTAGAATAAACCATTTCAACGTTCAAACGAAATCACACAACTTCGTACGTCAAACTATCCAGCAACAAAAAAGTGCAGAGGGAGGAAAAAAAAGACAGATTTTTTTTTCCTATTGACATATCCCTCTTCTCCAACCCGGGGTCGCTGAATGCCGTAAAACTTCGGCTGGAAGAGAAGCCGCTCTGCACCTACACATCACGTTTACCAGCCTCAAGCCAGGCACCCAAAGTTCCCCGACTTGGCTGGAAACCGTTCTCCACTCCTCTGCGCTCCCGGGCGGCCCTGACACTCCGGCCCATCCACCCAAACCCAAGGCTCCCCGCTCCAGGGAGGTGGGTGGGCCCCGGGGCAGCGGCCGCAGGGACACTCCCCGCGAACCCACCCCTCGGGAAGCGGACTTCGGCAGAACCTTCATGGACCCCGTGGGCCGCCGTAGCCCCACCCCTCGCTCCTCCGGGCTCGGCGGCTTCGGAACACTCACCGACGGTACCGGAATGTGCCACTTGGACCGGTCGGCAGCGGCGACGGCTGCCGGCCCGGCGCCCAAAAGCAACAAGGGGGACGGCTGAGCCCCCAGAAGAAAAAGGACAGGCAGCACCTGAAGCCACGCAGCCGCCGCCATCTTCACAGCCTGGGAGCGCCGGCCGACAGCATTTCACCTTCTTCCGGCTCGTCCCGCCCTCTTCCGGCTCTGCTGGGGGGGGGGGGGGCGGGGGGAGTAGGGGCGGGGGTCGGATCATCCGGGTCTTCGCACCCTCGCGTTGTTCGTTTGTTTGGCGACTCAGAGGCCCCTCCCTCCTGGTGTCGTCACGCTCGGCGCGAGGCTTGGGGGGGAAACTGCGCAGGCGCCGATCTGTCAGAACCTGGTCACCTTGGTGAGTGAGGATGGTCTCCCAAAGCCACGCCGCCTCTGTCGGCTCTTCTCTCTCTCCCAGCCCTGTACGGGTTTGGGGACCAGGCAAACACCCATTAGTGTTTGGTTTCAATCCCCCCACACTCCCTCGTTCGTTCCTGCCCCTTATCTAAGGTGACCAGACGTCCGGCTTTTGGCGGGACAGTCCCGATTTCTAACAATTTGCCCCGCGTCCCGCGGCGTTTTAAAAAAGTCCCGCGGGACAAATAGTTGAAAATCGGGACGTCTGATCGCCTTACCCTTATCCCGTCTAAGTCAAAGCCAGACTTCAGGGCCACAAGCCCGGGAAAGCCAGCGTAACCTGGCTGCCTGTGTTGGCTCTGGTCGTGAGTTTACCAAGGCGTCTGGAGTTCATTTAAGCAAAGACTGGAATTGGGGGAGGGAGGGGGGTTTGCAGTCTAAGCGGTTCCTAAACTGGAGAATAGAATATATAACCTCATTAAAAAGCCCCTTTCTAGCCCTGAAAAGAATGACGCTCCTGGATAAGTCTGGGTGGGTGGAGGACATGAAGCGCCAGCAAAGACTTCCCGCCCAGAATTTAAGACGGGGAGGGAGTGGGTCGGTTTTCTGTACACGGCGTGACCCTCACTGAGGGAGACCCGCAGAAGCTTCTGCCGCTATCAGGCAGGCCAGCCAGGTGCTTCCTGCCTTCCTGCTCTTAACTGTCATCCGCTACAACTCTGCCCACGCCCCCTCTGCTGCAAAGACGGTTTCGGTTTCTAACGAAAGCAGTTTCTCCTAGGCCGCTCATGACCAAGAAAAATTTGCCGAAATAAAATAAGCCTCGTCTAGAAACACTCGGCCTGGGCCTGGAGATTCCAGGAGGAATTGTCACTCCTTAAGTATTTGGAGGTTAACTCCCATTTCCCAGGATCTTGATGGTGGTGAAGTGCTGGTGATAAATTTAGAAAGAGAGCTATCCTCCTTTTGAAAAGGTCGCCCAAGGGGCTTGGACTGACGGCCTGGAGCCTGTGAAGTGACTTGGAAACCATGGAAGTGTTGGAAGAATCCGAAAAAGAAGAAATCAGGTAAAAAGACTCAGCGATCCTGCGGAGACAGGGGATAATAGATAGTATATGGAAGGCCTGCAAGCAACATTCTGGCTTTGACGTTTTTATTGTTTGATTGCACTTATTTGCATGCTTTATATTTGTGCATTTACTCTATGGGGTTTGTTTTGTTGTTGTCATTTTTTTTTCACTTCGCCGGGGATTGGTTGGTATTAATAGCTAGACCTTCATAAAATATTTTCAGGATGGTTAACAAAACTGGAAGAGTTGTGATCAGAATTCTAACACATGAATTTCAAGCATGTTGCTTACAAAGTTCTGCTATACCTACCTCTGCCGGTGTCATTCTTCAGAGCTGGAAACAGAAGGCTGCCAATTTCTTAATCTTTGCACACTTAATTTAAAAAAAAAAAAAAAAAACAGTAACAAATACTGAATCAGTGAAGGATTTGATTACTTCCACGATAAATCATTTTTTAGTATGGCCAAGTATATCTGTCTTGGACTTGTTTTCATATTTTGAAATTGGTGTTCAATCACAGTTTTAATCATGGACATGCTGACCATAGCTGCATTCAGCCACATCTCTGCATGAAATCCAACGTTTCCCCCCCTTGATACCAGGTAGTTGTTAATGGGCATATGTTAAATACATAATCTCAGTTAACAATATATATGCATTTTGTTCATGGTCTAGTCCAGAACCAGCTTTTTTGGAAATTTGGTCTTAAAAAACACTGACACCTAGATTGTCATCATCATCTTAAAAAGCTGAAGATTTTTCTCCTACACCTGTTTCTCTTCTTATCCTAGCACCTTGCACATAACTCTGTTGTAGCATTTGTCAGGTTAAAATTTGTGATTGTTGGTTAGGCTCTCACAGAAATCATGGACACAGTCTTTAGTATCTTCCTCAGAACCCAGCATTCAGTAAGGATATTCTGAAACTATTTTGTTGAATAAGTAAATGGATGGATTGGTTTTTGTTTGTTTGGTTTGGGCTTTTTGGTTTTGCTTCTTCAGATTTTATTGTTGTATTCATAGCCTTCACTAATTATTTTATTTTATACATTTAATTTATTGGGGTGATATCTGTTAATTAAATCATATAGGTTTCAGGTGTACAGTTATGCAATACAGCAACTGTATATTGTCTTGTGTGTTCACCACCCCAAGTCAAGCCTCCTTCCATGGCCATTTCTCACTCAATATTTTAAAAAACCCTTCCTCATAAGTGACAGCGCTCTTTTTCTACTGCTTCCAGAGTAATCCCGTAACTTCGTGTTTTGTTTTTTACCTTGGATAATTTCAAAAAGAGTCTTGTTTTATAGCACATGTTATTATGTTATATTATGGTCATGACACAATTTTGCTTTGCAGAGGTTTACCTCTCATGTTCATACTGTAGTTAGAGAGGTGCAAATAAGGACTCACAAACACTATGTAAAATAACTGTCTTCAAAATATCTGTTTATTTAGTGTTGAAGATGAAGCTGTGGATAAAAACACTTTCAAAAACTGCAGCAAAATTGCTTTCTACAGGTAAGGAGAGGAAACTAAATCCTTAGATCAAAATATTTCTGACATTATTTCAAAACTGATGTTTAATACATTTTGAGAACTGATAGGCTTTATAAGGAAATAACCAATTAGAAAATTTGGTGGTTAAGGAATTTATCCCAGACATGTGCCTTTAACTTTATATATTATACTTACTACGGTAGTATTTTTATCTTTATTGTTGAAAGAATTACAGGTGACTACTGTAGTATTTAAATTTTTAGTGAATAAGTAGTTTATTTTAAAAGTCAAAGCATTTTTAAATGATGTTAAAACTTTGTCTTTTAATAGATAATACATTTACATGGCTCAAAAATCAAATAATATAAAAAGATATACTTTGAAAAGTTATGTTCATTCCTGTTCCCTTACACCCAATTCCACATCTTGTCCTTGTAACCAGATTAATTTCTTATTTATCCTTCCAGCAGTTTTTGTGGCTGCATATATTCTCATATCACCATTCTTCGTATACCAAGTAGTTTTCTATCTACTATTGTGTACCTCTTTTTTTTTTTTTTCTGCTTCATACTTTATTCTGAAGAGCTTTGCTTGACTATATGGGGATTGTCCTCTCTTTGTACAGCTTTATAGTATTCCCTGGGGTAAATACTATAATTTATTCAGTTTTTCTCATATTGGTAGGCTTTGGGACTGTTTTGATATAATGGCTCTGCCACAATGAAAAGCTATACATATGTCATTTCCTACACATGCAAGCATATTTATAAGATAAATTTCTTGGAGTAGGATTACTGGATCAAAGAGTAAATGTATTTGAAATTTTAGCTATCCCTCCAGAAGACTCTATCATTTTGTACTTCCATCATCACTATATAAGGTTGCCTGTTTCCCCAGAGCCTTATGTGATCCTGAAAGTATCACATATTACAACTTCCTAATTTAATATTCACACTGCCTAGAGGAGGAAACTTCTACCATTTTAATTTTAACAAATACCTTAGAGGGAATTGTACAGTGAACTCCTGGTCACCGTGTTAAACTGCTAGATCGTGTTGATGTCTACGAGAAATTATTGCGTTTTTATTGAAGTGTACATTTCATGGAAAGAGACAGTGAAAGTAATAGCTAATAAAAATCATCTATGAAGACTGCCCCACCTTCTCAGTAAAAGGGACAAAGGACCATCTTTTAGTAGCATTACATTATAAACACTTTTATTAGTATTTTTCTTGTTACTACTAATTTTATTAGCACTCCAATAACAAAGTACTCCTGTTAATACTTTATTGGAGTACTATTACTGTCTGTGCCTAATTCACTTACTATCATAGTAAATTTTAATGACTTATCCCTGGTAATATAGTCTATTGAATGTTGACAGTCACAGGTAATTCTCAGGCATCTGTACACTTCACATCTGTAGGCGTCAGAAACAGCAGCTCTCCAAGAAGTCCACCTATCAGGCATTACTAGACTCAGTCACAACGGGCAAAGACAGCACCAGATTCCAAATCACCAATGAAGCCACGAAGGTGAGATACGAGTATTTTCTACAAAGGATTATTTATTTCTACATTTATTTGGGTTGAATGAAGTAAATTTCCACAGAGGCTAATTAAAACTACGTTTTAAAAATAGACTTTGTTAGGGAAATACTATAAACTTCTTTGTATCTAACTAATATTACTTTAAAAGTAACATGAATATCAACAGTATAGGTTGCCTTTATATCAGATGCTTTCCTAGATGTGTTACAAATGTTATTTCCTCTTAAATAGTCTTCATATTACATCTCAAAGACTTATCATATTATCCCAAATTTTCAGATAAGGAAATTGAAGTCTAAAAAGTCACTTGCTCCAAGTCACAGCTAGTAACCAGAATCTTTACTAGTAACAGCTACTGACCAGGATTTTCACTTGCATCTCTAGACTCTATCAAGCGACCATGCTCTTTCTATCACTATTACACAACATACCGTTGATCGTGCAGCCTGAGCATGGTGCGGATTCAATGAATGTCCAAACCTCAAAGTGTGGGTGGGCAGGAGGAGCAACGGACTGTGCGGTTGAAAAACCTAAGCCACAAACGGCCCGTCTCCTGAGCTGCTTCACTGCCGATCACCTCAGTCATTCCATACTGAAAAGATCAGAGCAGTATTCTAAGCTCTTTTCCTCACCTGTCAGTCACCAGACTACTTCAGACGGGCCTTACCGAAGGGCTGGTTATAGAGGGAGTGCTATGGGCTGGGCTAGGAAGTGTGACTATGCACAAATACCTGGGGCTCCCAATTTGACCCTCGTTTCCAAATCCTCTACCATCTTTGAAAGGCATCCTAAGCTCCTAAGGACTCCCAGACCAATCTGGCTTAATTGGAAACTCATAGAGCTGAAAGACATCGTTAAAACCATGTTGTTCTAGGTCCCTAATAGCTTGGATAGTAACTCCCTCCATTCACTAAAGAATACCAATTCTGAGAAGCAGATGGAGACAAATATCCCCACTTTCACTGCAAAGCTGAGAGAGGTCTCCTGGCAACTACCATAGCTCTGGTTCTACAGCACCACACTGAGGAATCTCCTCTGAGAAGATAGAACAAAAACTACCCCGCAAAACCAGGTTCTCTGTAACATTTGTAAGGCCTTTGATTTACAGCCCCAACTTATTCTCAGGTAGAAGGAGTAATTACACAATGAGGTGTTAAAGATTTTAGCTTATTTCATAGGTGTGGAATTTTCTTTTCTTTTTTTTTTTTTTTTTTTTTTACATTTTTTTAATTAAATTATTATCTGTGTACATATTTTAACATTGCCCCCCGCCCCCGGTGTGGAATTTTCTAACATAGCTTGCTTTCTTTTTTTTTTTTTTTTAAGTATATTTTTGTTGATTTCAGAAAGGAAGGGAGAGGGAGAAATAGACACATCAATGATGAGAGAGAATCATGGATCAGCTGCCTCCTATAAGCCCCCTTCTGGGGGTGGAGTCTACAATCTGGGCATGTGCCATGACAGGGAATGGAACCATGACCACCTCCTTGTTCAAAGGTAGACTCTCAACCACTGAACCACACCAGTCAGTCTGACATAGCTTTCTTGCCCAAATTCAAAATAGAGACTGGAATCACATGAACAGTTCCGTGTTCTCTATCCCTGTTCCCAACTTCTGTTTACTTAAGGATGTAGTTATAGTGGCAGTACACTTAGTTTATCTCTTTTAATTACACAAATGGAACGGTTAGCTTTTCTCCAAATTAAGTGCTGCTTCTTGTACCACCCATTTCTTTCTGGAGGAATTTGTCCCCTTTGAGTTCTCAGGTCATGATATCCTTGAAGTTATAGATCCTCTATTGCTGATTGAAGTCTCCCAAACTATACATCCTTTTGTAATCTAATTTGGTAGCTGTTCATGGGAAAACATGGGGCAGCACTAATTTCTTTCCTAGAGAGCCACCTGACATTTGTGTGTGGTCTAATTTCCTGACACCCAGCCAAACACCTGTACTCAGAGTCAGCAGAGGCAGCTGGCTCCAGGAAATGCAAGGAGTCCAGCAGAGACCTTCCAGGATGCGTTAGGCCTCCTACCAGAAGGCAGGTACCTTTCCTGTCTCATCTTCCCTGTCATTGTTCGTTTTACTTCCTGTCCCCAATGTGTCTAACCCTACAGAGTTGTAGATGCCATCCCTTTCCATCCTTGGGGAGGTTGATATTGAGCACCACCTGAACAATCCAGTGTCATGATGACACATGCTGGGGAAAAGTAAATGAGGCAAAAGCACCCTGTATGCCAGGGTGGGCCAAAATGAAAATTCTCCATACAGCTTGATGCCCATGCAGTTAGTGGTAGATTCCATGCACGGCCTTTTTCAGACTATAGATCAGTTTCTCGGCACACACCTCATTTTGGATCCTGAAAATGTGAGGGATAATGCTGTTCAGATCAGATGCTAGAACCAGAACCCACCGGATGCCTTCAATGGAAGAGAAACCACAGTCCAGGAGGACCCACAGGACCTCAGCGCAAGACAGCATATGGCTCACAATGGGCCAAACTGAGGAGCCCAACAAGCAAAGACAAGTCATCCCGATGTCAGCAACATGGCTCTCAAGACTGAGAATTTTCGAGGACCCCTTGAAACAGACCTCCTTTTCAGGTATTGGAAATATCAGGGCTACCTAGGGAATCTACATACCCTGATCTCAGGCAAATGCTTGCAAATGTATATGTTTTGAGAGGTCACCCTGAAATTCTGAGCCGAACTCCATTTTAATGTGATGACTGATAGGGATGTAAGACCTTATGCCCTCTGTCAGTATGATAGGGACAAAAACGATCCAGACAGTAATCTCTAAAATGGTCCGAGTCTTGTATCTTGCTTACAGCATAGTCAAGGAGTCTCTGTTAGAGCTTATTTCTGGGAGGAGATTGGTGTTTTATGGTGATTTCACATTAGCCTATGGTATGGGTATAGTCTGGAGATTTAAAACAAGCTGCATACATTGACTTATTCAGAATAACAGCTTTCTATTTGAGGTTCGAGAAATAGAGCCCAAAATGTAAGGGATCCTATTCAGCTCGCAGCTGTAGTTCTCATATTTCACTGAAGAGACAGATTCTGACAAAACCAGCACTCTTGATGCCAGCCTCCCCGACGCCTTTAAAGCTCTTAAAGCAGTAACCTTGTTAGCAAGCTCCATTGTTAATTTTTGAAATCCTTCTTCCCAATCCCCAACCCCCAATCTGCTTTTAATAAGCAACCAGGAAACAACCAGGTTTCATTCAACAATATCTTAGCTCAGGCTACCATAACAAAATACCTTAGAGTGGAGGTCTTCAAAGAAAAGGCATCTGTTTCTCACAGTTCTGGAGTCTGGAAAATCCAAAACCTACGTGTAAGTTGAGGATTCTATCCCTGGCTTATAGATTGTCATCTTATTGCTGTATATTTACATGGTGAAGAGAGAGCTAACTCTGATTTCTTCTTGTAAGGGCACTAATCCCATCATGACCCCACCCTCATGACCTCATCTAAACCTTATCACCTGACAAAGGTCCCATCTCCAAATACCATCACACTGAAGGTTAGAGCTTCAATACATGAATTTGGGGGGACATATAATTCAGTCATAGCAAACATAATATTCCTGGGATACAGTTATATATATAATATATACACATATATATATGTGTGTGTGTGTGTGTGTGTGTGTATATATATATATAAAGCTAGTATGCAAAGTGTCCCTACAGGAGATTGACCTGGGACCGGGAGTTCTATTGCTTGTTATTATGTGCGTTTACCACCAGGGGGCAGCACGGAGTTAATGTAGGCCCCAGCTGGCAGCTGGGGAAGGGAGCCCCCCCCCCCCCCCCCCACGGGCCAGCAGGTAGCCAGAAGGCCCCAATCAGCCCTGATTGCTGGCTAGGCCTATGAACCCTACCCATGCATGGATTTTGTGCACTGGTCCCTATTGTTATAATACTAGCTGAAGTATTACCCTGTGTATTATCTCAGGTCATGCTTTGGTCAGGCTTTGAAGAAAAACTGTTTGCAAGTTCAAATGCATATATTTTCTCAGTAGGATCCCAGTGTAGTATCTTGCCTATTTCTAATGACAGAAGAATAAAGTAGATATTTGATAAAGAAGTTTACAGAAGAAAATCTAAAAAAAAAGAAGTTATCAATAAAATGTTGACAGCTTTTTTAGAACTGTTTTTGTTATAGTGGTTTTAGTTTTTTACCTTCAGTGAAAATTTGACCGGGATTGAAAAACAGAAAAGACTTAGTCTTATGACATCAGAGCAGGGAAATTTATGCTGTCTTCTGAGACTAGCTAAAAAGCCTTATCTTGTCTTTGACCTGCTTCATATTGTTAATTTTGATGCTTTCTCATGACATTGTTTACTTTCTTTTGCAGCCTGTTTGCAAGTTTTCAACAGAGACAACACTTCTATCAGCTTCTCCAAGGATGAAGGGATATATATCTGAGCACCTTCATGAAGTAACCCCTTGCCTCTTCATCTAAGCCTGATGAAAATAGGACTTTGCCCAACCAGCTACCTCCTCAGAGGATGAGGCACAAATACCATTTTTTAACCAACACTGTTTCTGCAGAAATGGCCAGGAACAGGCAGCTAATTTGGAAACTGGCCAAACAACCAGAAGCATACCTAAACAGGCTAGTTGTACTTGGAGATGGGCATTAACCTGGAATAAATGTGCTAACATTCTTCATAGGGAATCAGTACTTGCAATAAACCAGCTGGCTGCGACTATGGAAGGGACAGTTGGTGCCCTATGGCAATTTAATTAAATCTTAGACAATTCCTGCATCCCTGGAGGTCTTGATCAAGAGGTTGTTGCTGAGGTTTTTTGCTCACTCTTTTAGGCCTTTTAGGTTAACTGTTCCATATAGTCTAGTAGAGAGACCTGGTGCCAGAGGAAAAAACGAAAACTCTGTCCATCAGGGAGAACTTGAGGAGGTCATAATTTCCCTTTTTAATACCCACTGCCATTTAAATGTGTGTTTTAGGGGCATTTGTTAACTCAGTCACAGTCTCTAGTAGTTGTGATTCCCATTTCTAGGTGAACAGAAAGTTTTTTGGTTTCTTAAAAATATATTTTTATTGATTCCAGAGAGGAAGGAACAGGGAGAGAGAGAAAAGCATCAGTGATGAGAGAGAATCATTGATTGGCTGCCTCCTACATCCCCCCTACCAGGGATCGAGCCTGCAACCCAGGCATGTGCCCTTCACCAGACTTAAACCTGGGTCCAAAGACCGATACTCTATCCAGCGAGCCAAACCAGCTAGGGCAAAAAAGTTTTGTTTTAATATTATTATGATCAAGCCACTACTTGAATACATAATCAAGACTGTTTCTACTGCCATGATTTTTACAACCTGTCTGATATTTTTGCCCATATGGCAAAAAAAACTTGACTTGTGGGTGACAGACTACCAGGTTTTGTATTTAGTATGGGGGAAATCAAATAGAAAAAGGGAATTAATATTCTTTCCCAAACTATGAGAGGTAAACCTCTGAATGAAGATTTATAAAAAAACAAGTAGAGACTTATACTAAAAGGAACCTCCAAAATATATTCCTTTCTCTGAAGATTTATCTCATCTTCTCTGTATAGATGGACATTTACACATCTTAAAATTTTTAAAGGAGTAAAGCTGTCTTACCTCATTTAAAATGTTATATATTTCTTTACTTATTTTACATGAATCTATAATATCTTGCTGTAATTTGAGTGTAACTGCTATTATCTAAGTATTAACACTAAATAATTCTTAATTGAAATGATCTAACTTAAATATTTATCTTAACATATTTTTTCATTGTCATTTACATTCATCACTAATAAGAGAAAAAGAATGGATAATTTATTTGTATGTTATTGTTTAATAAATGTCTAGACAGATCCCTAAAGAAGAACAGGAATATCTAGAAATTCTTAATGTTTTAGATAGGAGAATAAAACATTCATGTCTAAACTTTTTAAAAAATATATATTTTTATTGATTTCAGAGAGGAAGGGAGAGGGAGAGAGAGAGAAACATCAATGATGAGAGAGAACCATTGATGGGTTGTCTCCTGCATGCCCCACACTGGGGACTGAGCCCACAACCCAGGGATGTGCCCTGACCAGAATGGAGCCCGGAACCCTTCAAACCACAGGCCAGTGCTCTATCCACTGAGCCAAACTGACTAGGGCCAGACTCCTTGACACAGCAAGATTTTGGTGGAAGAATTGGGCAATAACTGGCAGTTAAGAAGCCCAGGGAAGTGGTTCATAAACTCATCCGCAGAGCCCTGAGTCTTCCATGGAGGTGTCTCACACTCCATGCCATGCCGAGAGGAGAGGGGGCTTAAAGGTTGGCGTTGTGAGCTACTCCCCACATTCTTCAATCTGAATAGCTTTTATTATTGAACTTCTGAGAGTCCACTGCTATTTAAAAAAAAATTTTTTTAAGCCACTAAAAACAGCATGAAACAGATTATAAGAGCAAATGTATACTAAGGAAATTTTATGCTTGGAACATGAAGCTATGTTGGTGGCAAGAGATAAGATTGAATCTAGTTGTTGACCTTAAAAAGAGTTACCTAACTGGAAAAATTGGCTTGCTTAATTAAGTTAAAAAGACAAGAAAAAGGAGCTTTTTAAGTTTAAGTTATTGCTACCTCCTCTCATAGAATTCGGATTCTTTCCTGGGATGCAGCTTCAAGAATAAATCATATAGACCAGTCTTTGGTTTTAAAAAACAATTTTTTAAAAAGCGATTTCACTAAAATAGTAGGATCTCTGAGTGCATAAATTAGACACAATTTGTTAATCATATATAGATAGACAACCCATGTACCCTCTGCTTAACTTTTTTTTTTCTTTTTTCTTTTTTTGCCCATTTTGGCCTCCCAAAGTCCCTGAAGGCCCTGCTCAAGTCCGTCTTCCTCTGAAGCGATTTCCCAGAACCCTTCTCCTTAGAATCATCATTAATATTCCCCTTCCTTGTTCTCCCACAGCACATTCCTTGTCCTTCTAGCTCAGCATAAAATGCTTTATGTTTACTATGTATATTTTGTCTCTAAACTGCCATCTCCCTAAGAGTAAATTGTTATTTTTTTTCACAACAAACAGCACATCACAATATTAGATACCAAATAAATGTTAGTTGAATTGAATTTGGGAGGGCAACAGAAATATATGTCTAATTTGGGAGAGAATGTGTAATCTAACAGGATTTTAACTTTATATTTGGACACATTTTCAAATTTAGAATTCTGACAGCACAATAATTCAAATATATAAAAGAACTTTAAACATCTAATCAATAATTATAGTATGGGGGGGGGCTATGTTGGTCAAAGACTACAGACTTTCAGCTCTAAGGTGAATAACTTCTAGATATCTAATGTACAGTATAGTGATTATAATTAATAATACTCTATTGTATACTTGAAAGTTTCTAAAAGAGTAGATCTAAAATGTTCTCACCACAAAAAAAAAGATGATCATTATGAGACATGATGCAAGTGTTAGCTAAGATTATGGTGGTAATCATTTTGCAGTATATAAGTGTACACATTAAACTTACACAATGTTATACACCAACTAGTGGCCCAGTGTATGGATAGGGTCCCTAGACCTGGACAGTGATCAGGGCCCATCAGGGCCTTCTGGCTGCGGTGGGGACCTTCCTTCATTCTGTGCCGCCCCCTAGTGGTCAGTGCACGTCATAGTGAGCGGTAGTATTCCCAAGGGGACAGTTTGCATGTCAGATTTATTCATTACATTTCAATAAATCTGGGGCAAATAATTACAATATTATTACTACTACTACAGAAGCCTGTCTTTAAAACGCCTATAAAAGCAGCCACAGCCACTGCACTATTTACCTGGTCACTCTTCAGTGTCATGTCACCGTTTAAGTGGCCTGACTACTTTTCTGTATTCCCAAAGCTAGGTTCCAATAACATCTCTTCTTTTGGTGCTGCTTTGATATGCTCCTACTTCCTATCTCTTACTTGCACACTGTATCTGCTCTATACTACTAGTATGTCACACAACCTACCCAGGTTAGCCTTTCATTTTACATACATTATAGTAACAATGTCCCCAGTGATAACCGAGTTTGCCATCATACTAAATGAAGGGTTTGCAATCTACCAGTGTGTCATGGCACAACAGTTGAAAAACACAGTCTTAAAATATTTCTCTGATATAAATGTCTCATTTTGTAACCTTAATGAAGCCCCTTCTACTCTCTTGTTGTTTTGTGTCTTATTTTTCAAATCCTGTATTCTCTTTATAATTCTGTTGCTTCCATCTCCCATTATAAGAATTTTACCTAAGCTGCCAAGCCTCTTAATAAAACTGAGAAAAATCCAAGCCTCTTAAGAAAGCTGAGAATATTCCAGTCTCTTGAGAAAGTTCCCAAGGCCATATGCTCAGATGTACAGAAAAACATTGATTTTAATGTAACAAGCCTCATATATCTATGCTAGAGAGCTCCAATGACCACTGTTTTACTCTCTATTCTATTCCATGGCTTATTACCCTTCATCTTTCATTCAGCTGGAATCCAGTTATTCGTTTTAACATCAAACTCTTATTCTATAGACATCTGTAGTTTGTCAGAGTTACGGTGGCAATATGTCTCAATTTTGCAAGAGCAATTTGAGTTTATGTGTGTAATCCAGTATGATTATTAATAGAGACCATTCTTGAAGGTCCTGGTCCAGACAATTATATGTTTTACTGGCCACAAAACACATAGAAGTATTTCTTGTCTCCCACAGGTATAACCAAGCAAGTTCATATATAGATTTGGGGAGCTTTATCTCTTCATGATTACCATTATTCTCCAGTTTGCTTGGCCTGTAATAATTTAAACATAATTTTCTAATTATTGCCATTTGACTATAGAACTGGTCATCACTGGGTTAACCTATGGAAGTTAATCTCATGTCTGTGCCCAGGTTCCTCTTTTGGCTGAAGTTTTTGGTATAGAGGGAAATATCTTCAGGCTTAAAATCAATGAAGAAACTCCCCTGAAGCCCAGGTATGAAGTCCCAGATGTGATCACAAGCAAACCAAGTACTGTAAGGTAAGCCAAGGATCAAGATATCTTGAGTACACCCTCACAAAGTTATTTTATCATACTTAGAGTAGTAGATTTTGTGTATATCTCATAGTTTGTTTATTTAAAGCCACAGTCACTAGCGGAGTTAGTTTCTATTTTGTAAATTATCGATTCTATATTCTCATCTCCCATTTGAATCATCAACACTTAGAGGATAGAGCTTTTGATCCCTTCTTTCCTCACAAAGCAAATAGTTGATCAGCCAGACTTTTAGGAGCAAATAGAAGAAGAGCTGTTTCATTTACTCACTCTGATTATCAGTAGGGCTCCAGAGATCTAATACACTAGCCAAACTCCCATATTTAGTTAGATTGACTCACTTTTAATTAAGAATAGTTCTAGAAGTATAACATCTAATTGACTTAGAAGCAGAGATAATTAATAATCAGTCTCTAGGTGAAATAAAATCTTTGGGGATTAAAGCATTTTCATATACCTGCAGAATCTTTTATCACTTCTCAACACAATTTCTAGTGATATCTCAATTTGGTTCTGCCTGTTGACTTCTGTTATTTTTTTCATATTATTCCCCTAAAGGAATATAAGATTAGGCTAGATGCTTTAATTTTTCACTACATTGTTATAGTTTCATGTAGATTATTTTTCCATGAAAATTAATTTTCATTATTTCCATGAAAATAAAAGATCAGTAGGTTATAATGAGAAATTAATTCAGTTACGATAGAACCATCATAAATTTAAAATATGTATATTCATTAAGCCACTACTATATGCCAATATTTAGGAAATGGGAATTAAAAAGAAACTGTTCTCCAGGCTTTGCAATTTGGCAAATGATTGTATATATAAGACACAGGCAGACACACACACACACACACACACACACACACACACACATCTCCACTTAGCCATACTATATTATGTTTTACTATCCTGAAGGAATCATTTTACTAGTAGATCATTTAACATTTTTATATCTGTGTTCATAAGTAAAATTGGCCTGTAGTTTTCTTGTTGAGTGTATATATTTCCTTTTTTTTTTTTTTTAAGTTTATTGGCGTGACATTGACATTACTGGGGTTAAGATTATATGGGTTTCAAGTGTACAATTGTATGTACATCATCTGCACTAGTATATTTCACTGTGTGCCCACCACCCAAAGTCAAATCTTCTTCTATCACCATCTGTTTGACTCCCTTAATCCTTACTACCCTTCCCTCCTTCCCTCTAGTAACCACCATATTGTTGTCTGTGGTGATAAGGTTTTTTTGTTTGTTTATCTTGTTTGTTTACTTGAAACTTTCAGTTTTATAGTCCACATGAATGAAATCATTATTTTTCTTAGCTTGATATTCTCAAGATCTATCCATGTTGTCACAAATGGCAGTATTTCATCTTTTATTATAGTTGAGTAGTATTCCATTGTAAATATGTACTATATCTCCTTTATCTAATCATCTCTCCAAGGACACTTCAGTGTTTTCATGTCTTGGCCATCATGAATAGCGCTTCAGTGAACATAGGTGTGCATATATTTTTTAAATAAATATTTTCAAATTTTTTTTAGGGTAGACCCAGAAGAGGGGTTGTTGGGTCAAATGGTAACTATATTCTTAATTTTTTGAAGACCCTCCATGCTATTTTCCATAGTGGCCCTCAGTTTACATTCCCACTGTGGTGAATGAGGGTTCCTTTTTCTTTATAACCCCTTCAACATTTATTATTTGCCTTGTTGATAATAATCATTCTAACAGTTGTGAGGTGATATTCATTGTAGTTTTGATTTGCACTTTCCTAATAACAAGTGAAGTTAAGCATTTTTCATATGTCTGTTGACCATTAATTTGTATGTTGTCTTCTTGGGAGAAGTGTTTGTTCAGGTCCTCTACCCATTTTTTAAATTGGTTTGGGGTATTAAGTTGTATGAGTTCTTTATATATAATGCGTTGGATATATAATGCTTGTCAAAGCTGTAGTTTTCTTTTTCTGTGCTGTCTTTGCCATGTTTGGGGGTCAGAGTGATATCAACTTTATGTAGTAAATTTGCTTCTATTCCAGTCTCTTTGTAGAAGGTCTCTGGCTATTGTAGTAACTAGAGCTAAAAACTACATCTCTCCATTTCCCAGATTCCCATGTAGCTAGTTTCAGATGTCAGTCAGGTTCCATCAATCAGAAGCGTTTATAGGTATCTTGATTTCAGAACTGAGTTTCCCATTTTGCTGGTACGAAGTTGGAAGATATAGAATGACTCTAAAGCTACACTGGTTAATGTGGTGGTTTCCTGATCTCTGGATTGCAGCTATGGTGGCATGATCCTGGAGCCCCAGCAGTTGCCACAGTGACTTCTGATTACCCAATTTCCTGATTCTACCTGAGATGGAAGTTCCATTGGCCATATAGTTATGTAGTACTAGAGGCCTGGAGAATGAAATTTGTGCACAGGTAGGGTCCCTAGGCCTGGCTGACGATCAGAGCCAATCGGGACCTTCCTTCCCCTGGCTGCTGGCTGCCAGCTAGGGCCTCCCTTCATTCTGCACCACCCCCTGGTGGTCAGCCCACATCATAGTGGGCAGTCAAACTCCAGAGGGGACAATTTGCATATTATCCTTTTATTATATAGGATTGATGCTCAGACAGGAACCTGCTACCTCAACCCTTCCCATGATGTTGTAAGCTCCTAATTCCCCCATATTAAGCTATTTACTTTCTGCTTAAAATAGCCAGAGTTGTTTCTGTTTTCTACAGTTGAGTTTTGGTTGATATAGTCAGTGAGTAGAAGCAACATATAATTAAGGATGGTAATGTGAAGTTGGTTAGCTGAATTAGTTGGATTTGAAGGCTGTGAAGACCTGATTTTCTTTTTTTCTCTCTTTTTTTAAAAAAATATATTTTATTGATTTTCCACAGAGAGAAAGGAAGAGGGATAGAGAGCTAGAAAAGTTGATGAGAGAGAAACATCGACCAGCTGCCTCCTGCACATCCCCTTCTGGGGATGTGCCCACAATCAATGTACATGCCCCTGACCGGAATCAAACCTGGGACCCTTCAGTCCGCAGACCAACGCTCCATCCACTGAGCCAAACCGGTTTCAGCTGAAGACCTGATTTTCATTAGAGGATGAGATTAGTGTTATTGGCTGAATTGTGTGCTGGCCAAGACAGGTCCTTCATGTGGAAAATCCACTGAAAACAGCTTGAATGGGCCTACAAGTTGTTGTGGTGGGGTCTCAGGGAATCACCAGGTCAGGGTGAACAGTGATAGCCAGGTTGATGAAAACTTAGATTTAGCCCCCACCTGCCAGCTCTCTGGGGTAAGGGATTAGAAGAGGAACAATAACCTCTGCCAGCACTTCTGTTTGGGAGAAAGCTGCCTTTCCAACTTTCACCCTGATGCCAGACACTTCAGTTCCTCTCCATTTGACCCCTGGTGCCTTTCAAACTTTCCCCAGTGCTGGAACTCAGAGTGAGTCTGAGTAAGTCTGTGTTCTGGCCCTTTAAGAGGAACTACCTAGGACTCCAGAAGCTCTCTGTCTCACTCAGCCACAGTCCTGGCTGGTTCTTACAACCAGAAGTTATGGGGAATCTCTTCCTGGCACTGGAACCCTGGGCTTGGGAGCCTTGTGTGGGGCTGAAACTCTTCACTCCTCAGGGAGGACCTCTGCAGAAAAGATATCCCTCCTGATTTTTGTCCAGCACATCTCCATCACTCCCACCAGTCTCTATGTGGCTTCTTTATATCCTTAGCTGTAGGACCACAGCACGCAGGAGAAAAGAATTTTCAGTAACTACCAGAGGTTTGCCCTGATGACAGCAACCAGCACCCCCGCATTGGTCTGTGCCCCCCCCTCATCTGCTGCACCATCCCACTGCGGCCAATGCCCGCCATACTCAGTGCTCTGCCACCTGCTACAGCCCTCCATGTTTCGCATGCACCTCCTGGTGGTCAGCGCATCATAGAGACTGGTTGTTCAGTTTTTCTGCTGTTGGGTCTATTTGCATATTAGGAATTTATATAGAGAGATTGTATAAATTGTATAGATTGTATAAATACTTATAGATTGTATATATTGTATAGATTGTATAAATACAATCTTGAATTGTATTTATAGTTGTATTTCAATATCATCAAATAGATCTGGGTGAGAGTAATAAAAATTAATAAAATAATTCTGAATATGTTTTTGAAATGCAAATTTACATGTTTTCATTCAGCTAGATTTCGGGTGGTTCTGAATGATAGTTGTTCTGTAGTTGTATTTTTTATGTCATGGGAGTATGCAAGTATCACATTTATCTTGACTGGATCTATTTATTCTTGCTTTTATTATTTCCACAATACAGATGAGGAAACTGCGTAGAAAGATTAACTTGTCCAAAGTTATATTCCTATTGCATGGAGCTATCTTCAATCCAGGCTCTCTGACACCAAAGCCTACGCTCTCAGTTATGGCTCACCATTGCCTTATCTATGCTATGTCACATGAATAGTGATTTACTAATTAATGAATTTGAATTGAGAAATTGAGCCAAAACCTATAATAATTTGTTTTTCTATTCCTGCTTTGTTTTCTAGGCTGATTTCATGTTCAGGAGATACAGGCAGTCTCATATTGGCAGATGAAAAAGATCTCAAGTTTCATATCACGGCAAACCCATTCAAAGTAGACTTGGTGTCTAAAGAAGAGGTTGTGATGAGCATAAATGCCCTGGGCCAACTGTATTTTGAGCATCTGCAGATTCCTCCCAAGCAAAGGTATTTTTGCATATTACTTAGCACATAAAGAATTTAAGAAAACCTGATTGTGAATACCAATGGCCTAAATCTATAATACATCAATACAGAAAATTGGTTTGCCTTATTTTATGGAATATTGTTCTGAAATTTTTCATCTTTCACCTGTGCAGGTGAATGCAGGCTTAATGATAAGAATGATTTCCATACTTTTGCAAGCATAACACTTTTAACACATCCTAGGTAATGGTATTCTCAACCCACTGCACCCTCTTTAAAAAGCACTCTGTTGACTTGATAAATATTAATACGAACTAATCAGAATTTCACTTTATTCCTTTACTATTACGTGAGTTACCCTAGACTTGTCTATGAGAAATGTTAAATATAAAAACACATGATTAAAAGTAAAGAGATGGAGAAAGATATACCATGCTAACACTAATCAAAATAAAGTGAAAGTAGTCATATTAATTTCAGAAAGATTAGACTTCAGAACAAGGAAACTTATGCCCTAGCCAGTTTGGCTTAGTGGATAGAGCATCAGCTTGTGGACTGAAGGGTCCCACGTTCAATTCCTGTCAAGGACCCATGTCCAGGTGTGGGCTTAATCCCCAGTAGGGGATGCAGGAGGCAGCCAATCAATGATTCTCTCTCATCATTGATGTTTCTCTCTCTCTCCCCTCTTCCTTCCTCTCTGAAATCAATAAAAATATATTTTTAAAAAGAACAAGGAAAGGTAGCAGGAATTAAAAAGAGTATTATGTTGCCGAAACCAGTTTGGCTCAGTGGTAGGGCGTCGGTCTACGGACTGAAAGGTCCCAGGTTCGATTCCGGTCAGAGGCATGTACATTGGTTGCGGGCACATCCCTGGTGGGGGGTGTGCAAGAGGCAGCTGGTTGATGTTTCTCTCTCATCGACGTTTCTAGTTCTCTATCCCTCTCTCTTCCTCTCTGTAAAAAATCAATAAAATATATTATTTTTAAAAATAAAAAACAGGCGGGGCTGGTGCGGCCAGGCCCGGAGCAGCGGCTGCCAGGCAGGGAGCGGCCAGGCCAGGGGGAGCAGCCGGGTCGGGTGCGGCCAGGCCCGGAGCAGCGGCTGCCAGGCTGGGAGCGGCCAGGCCCGGGGGAGCAGCCGGGTCGGGTGCGGCCAGGCCCGGAGCAGCGGCTGCCAGGCTGGGAGCGGCCAGGCCCGGGGGAGCAGGCGGGTCGGGTGCGGCCAGGCCCGGAGCAGCGGCTGCCAGGCTGGGAGCGGCCAGGCCCGGGGGAGCAGCCGGGTCGGGTGCGGCCAGGCCCGGAGCAGCGGCTGCCAGGCTGGGAGCGGCCAGGCCCGGGGGAGCAGGCGGGTCGGGTGCGGCCAGGCCCGGAGCAGCGGCTGCCAGGCTGGGAGCGGCCAGGCCCGGGGGAGCAGCCGGGTCGGGTGCGGCCAGGCCCGGAGCAGCGGCTGCCAGGCTGGGAGCGGCCAGGCCCGGGGGAGCAGGCGGGTCGGGTGCGGCCAGGCCCGGAGCAGCGGCTGCCAGGCTGGGAGCGGCCAGGCCCGGGGGAGCAAGCGGGGCTGGTGCGGCCAGGCCCGGAGCAGCGTCTGCCAGGCTGGGAGCGGCCAGGCCCGGGGGAGCAGCCAGGTCGGGTGCGGCCAGGCCCGGAGCAGCGGCTGCCAGGCTGGGAGCGGCCTGGCCCGGGGGAGCAGGCGGGGCTGGTGCGGCCAGGCCCGGAGCAGCGGCTGCCAGGCTGGGAGCGGCCAGGCCCGGGGGAGCAGGCGGGTCGGGTGCGGCCAGGCCCGGAGCAGCGGCTGCCAGGCTGGGAACGGCCAGGCCCGGGGGAGCAGGCGGGTCGGGTGCGGCCAGGCCCGGAGCAGCGGCTGCCAGGCTGGGAGCGGCCAGGCCCGGAGCAGCAGCAGCCAAGTCCAGAGCAACTAGGTCGGGAGCGGCAGTGACCAGACCCGGAGCAGCTGGTTGTGGAATGAACCAGAGCAACAGAGGCCAGGCCCTGAGCAGCCAGGCCCAGAACAGCTCGCTCCTTGCCGGCCCCTGCCCCACGGCTGCTTCTCAGACATGGCTGGAAACTTTCGTGGGAACTTGAGGGTCTGCTGAATCAAGTGATGAAGGCTTAGATCTGGATGTGTTGAGTCAGTTTAGGACTGGGGTGTTGATCTGTGAGTGCCTTGGGTGGGGCCTGGATGAGGCTGGTTGACCTAGTGGGAAATGTCTTTTGTGTGAAGTGTATCATTGCGCATGTGGAGGTATTATTGATATGAGAAAATGCTAAGTAACTGATTTACTATCTGAAAAGGGATTTACTATTGGGGAAATTGAGGGAAGAAGAGACTGAACATAAACTGCACCTATGGATGAGGACAATGGGGGATGGGGGGGGGACGGAGGGTGGGGTGGGAACCTGGTGGCGGGGGGAAGAAATGAGGAACCTTTGTAATAATATGAACAATAAAGATTGATTTAAAAAAAAATAAAAATAAAAAAAATAAAAAACAAAATAAAAAGAGCATTATGTAATGATAAAGGGGTCAATTATTTGAGAAAACATAACAGTCCTTAACGTGTATGTGCCTAACAACAAAGCATCAGAATACATGAGGCAAAACTAATAGAACTGCAAGAAGAAATAGATGAATCCACTATTGTAATTAGAAACCTTAACATCCTTATATCAGAAATGGGCAGATCCAACAGAGAGAATATCAGTATGAACATATTATAGTTGAATTCAACAGCAAAATCAATCAACTGGATATAATTGGCATCTATAGATTTCCTTATTCAACAACAGTAGATTACATTCTCAAGCTCACATAGAACATTCACCAAGATAGACTATATTTTGAGTTATGAAACACACCTTAAAATTTTTTAAAGAATGTAAATCATACCATGCTAACTCTCAGATCACAATAGAAGTAACCAGATATAAATAGAAGAAAGATGAAAAATTCCAAAATACTTGGAGATTAAACAACACACTTTTAAATAACACACAAGTCAAAGAAGAAACCTCCAAAAAATTTTTAAATATTTTTGAGCTACATTTAGCTAAAAGTTGAAATGTTTGATAAATGTCAAAGTAAATTGGGACATCCTCTGCCTCCTTGAGTCCCCAGTGGGGGACATGCAGGAGGCAGTTGATCAATGATTCTCTCTCATCATTGATGTTTTTCTCTCTCCCTCTCTCTTTCTCTCTGAAATCAATAAAAATGTTTTTTTAATTCTACATTAATTATAGAAATTCAAATTGAAATGCATTGTCTTTTCTAAAATACTTGAGGTTGGCAAAAGTTTAAAAATCCATAAAGTTCAGTATTGTGACAAGTAGGGAGAAATGAGCACTCAAATACAATTGTAGGTGATAGAATAAGTTGTCATAGTCATTTTAGAAGGCAGGGCATTATGCTGCTTTACTATAGTAACACTGGATGAGGGAAGCTGTGCTCTACCTTGCTTATGTTTGTTTAAATATTATGAGCATGTATTATCATTTATAATAAAAAACTGATGAAGATATTTTTAAAGAGGTTAATAAGAAAATTCAAATATATATTTGAATAAGAAAGCAAACTCTTGGATTAATGTTTATCATAAATGTTCAATTTCATAACTTTATTTTTATTTTTATAGGGATGTTATTTTTAATAAGATAAAATTTATAGTTATAAGTTATAGAGTTTCAAAAGTTGGAAATGAAAATCTTTATAATTGTACAAAATTCCACGTGTAAAACAATTTTATTTGTATTACAACAGAGCTACCAGAGAAAAGGAGAATGCATTAATTGACACCTCTCAGGTAATCTAGATTGAGCAATTTGTCTTTTTTTATTTTTTATTTTAATAATCTTCATTTTGTAGTATATAATGTGCCCTGTTCTATTCTTCTACAGATGGATATTTGATAAATTCTCTGTAAGTGTAATCACCTGTCTCTTTTGCACATCTTATCTTCTCATTGATTTTTTTCATTCATTTATACATGTATTTATTAACTTATAAAGCAGGTAATTCTTGATTGCCTGCTTTGTGCCAGCCACAAAAAAAAAAAAAATGCTAGGCAAAGGGAGTCAGTAGTGAGTAAAGCAATTCCTGTGTCTTTATGAAACTTTGAATCTATTTGAAAAGACAGGCACTAAATAATTACAGGTATGAAGAGTGTTACAAAACTCTTTAGGAGACTACAACAAGAAACTTGACCAGGATGAGGATCAGGAAAGACCTCAACTGTAAGTGTATGTAAGCTATAATTAGAAAAAATTATTAAAAAACAAAACATTATGCTGAGTAGAAGGAGTATTACACAAGAAAAAAAATAATTTAGTGTGATTTAAAACACACACACAGGATTACTTTATAGAAGCTTTAAATATGAACAAACAACTTAGAAATGGGCAAAGGACTCACTCTTTTTAAAAATGTTTTGTTAATCCTCACCTGAGAATATTTTTCCATTGATTTTTAGAGAGAGTGGAAGCAGGGGGAGAGACAGAGAGAGAAATGTTGATATGAAAGAGACACATCCATTGGTTGCCTCCCGCACAGGCCCTGCAGGGATCAAGCCTGCAACCAAGGTACGTGCCCTTGACCGGAATCAAACCCGGGACTCTTCAGTTAGAGGGCCAACGCTCTATTCACTGAGCCAAACCAGCCAAGGTAGGACTCACTTTTTTAAAAGAAATAATGCATTTCACACACACATAATTAAAAAAAACAAAAACGCAAACTTTTGCTTCTACTGAAGACTGAGACCTTTGTAAAGCTGAAAAAGTTTATAACTCTAGATCGAGAAATTATGAACCTGAGTGGTTGCCATCCCAGTTGACTTCCAAAGCCAGCAATAGGAACATAACTACCAGTTTGGATAAGTGAAGCAGGGTGAAAGTACCCATCTCAGCCAAAATCTTTTCTTAGGGTTTCTCAAATGGACATAAGTAATTTGATTCTAAATGTTTTGCCTCACATATTTACGAGGAAAAAATACCTTATATATGTAAAGACCACATTTTTTTAAAGTGCTTTCACCTAATTTCAAACCATGTTAAATGGTGTGGCAGTTCCTCAAAAAATTAAACATAGAATTACAGTGTGATCCAGCAATCTCATTTATGAGTACATACCCAAAAACAAAAGTAAGCAAACAGATATTTGTACATACTTATGTTCTTCATAGCACAATATTTACAGCAGCCAAAAGCTGGAAGCAGTCTGGCAATCCGGGTGTCATTGACAGATTAATGCATCCAAAAATGTGGTACATACACACAATGGATTATTATTCCATTAAAAGGGAAGAAGTTTCTGACACCTGCTACAAATGGATGAACATTATACTAAATGAAATAAGCCAGACACAAAAAGATAGATACTTAATGATGCCACTTACATGAGATATCTAGATGAGTAGTCAGACTCATAGAGACAGCAAGTAGAATAGTGGTTTCCAGGAGCTAGGAGGAGGTAGGAATGGGGGAATTACTGCTTAATGAGTACAAAGGTTCAGTTTGGGAAGATCTAGAAGTGCTAGAGATGAATGGTGATGATGGTTGCACAACAATGTCAATGTATTTAATGCTACTTAAAAAGGTTAATACACTTAAATTGGTTAATCTGATAAATTTTGTTATGTGTATTTTACCACAATAAAAAATATAGTCATGTCATCTATTATTCACAAGGATGATTATTGAAATTTATATAGGACACAGATCTATAATAATTTGTTAAATAAACATCACAAACTAGTCTTGAGATGAACTAATTTTTTGGTCTAATTTTTTAATCAAAATGTGCTTGCAACATATAAATTTAATTTGCTCCCCCCTCTTTTTTTGTGTGCCAACAGAAAAATCAAGAGGATCTAGGCCTGTGGGAGGAGGAATTTGGAAAATTTGTGGATGTCAAAGTTAATGGTAAAATTGAATCTGGTATAGTGCTAAAACAGATCTTTCCAAAATGGCTAAATATCTCTATCCAAAAGGTCCTAGAGCTTTGGTACCTTAACAAGTAACTTCAGCAAGATGAACAGAAATCTCAGATTTGAGTCCCCTATTCTTCCATAATGCATTGCATCAAAGAAATAATGATTATATGCCTTTTGTGGGGAGTATAAAAGAACTATAGGCCTCATGGAGCTTATGGTCTCATGGAGTGCCCTAAATCAGCACACTACTTGCACTTTCCAGTATATCAGATAGCTGCAAATTCCACATTCTATTTTTATGAGAGTCAAGTGATGACAAAACAATTTCTAGAACTCATCAGCTCCAACATTGCAAGCTAGTGGTTCTCAACCATTGCCAGGCCTCCCCATCAAATACCCATCTATGACATTTCTCCCTAGGTTTAGTGATGGGAGCATGTGTGTGTGTGTGTGTGTGTGTGTGTGTGTGTGTGTGTGTGTGTGTCAGTGTTTGTGTTTGTGTGTGTGTTTTGTCTCTTTGGGAGATATCTTTCAGATATTTGGGACTTACATAGCTGGAAAAAATCCCTTCCTTCCTCCTCCCTGCCCTGTAGGAGGCCAGACCCTCCCTAATTTATTGAAAATCCCTGTTCTAGCATCTATATCTATAGCCTATTACATGATCAGCACTGACAACTTGCCCAAAATTTATAAGCAGGGGGATATCATAATCTTTTCTACCTTTTCTGTGGTACCCTCATTCCATAAACTCTTCCAAATAAGGATCATTTGAGACCAAATACTTTAACCTACGAATGAATTTAAGGCAATGTTATCCTTCCTAATTATTTGAATTTTCCTATATTTCTAAAATAATTGTTAAATAAAAGATTTTGTCTTTGGTTAAAGGAAATTTATGTGTTTATAATCACAGGGTATTCTGAGGAGCCAGGAAAGATCTTCCTGGTGCCCTTGACATTATAGTCCCTGAACACAGTGAGAAAAATAATCAGGCACAAGACATCCACTCTTTCCTTTAGTAAAGATTAAATTGCTCAGTATCCTTTGCTTTAGAAAGTGCCTAATATATATATATTTTAAAGTAAAGATTAGAAAGCTAAAACTTTGTAGTCATATCTTACCAATAAAAATATTTACTATAAATGAGGACACTGAGATTCAGCACACAGCTAAGTGAACGTAAGTAAAAAGTGACCAGAACTTTTCTTTTTGCATTGTATCCTCACACCTGAATACAAAGTCAGTACAGTGCTTAACTGATAGATCAGGGAAAGCTCCGATCTCCAGATCTCTAGTTTAATCATCTTACTAAACTCATAGTAAACTGATTGCCCCCAGTGAGAAGCAAAACTCAGCCAATATCCTGATCCCCACAGGTCCTGCCTCCATTGGTTTGGATTTCTCCTTGCATGGATTTGAGCATCTCTATGGGATCCCACAACATGCAGAATCACACCAACTTAAAAATACTGGGTAAAGTGAAAACAATAATTCTTATGGGAAACGTATTGCTTATAGATTTTGAAGAATCTCCCTTGAATTGCCTTAGCTGGTTTGGTTCAGTGGATAGAGTGTCAACCTGCAGGGTCCCTAGTTCAAGTCTGTTCAAGGGCACATGCCCAGACTGCAGACTCAATTATCTCCAGTAGGGGGCATGCAGGAGGCAGCTGATTAATGATTCTCTCTCATCATTGATGTTTCTCTCTCCTCCCTTCCTCTCTGAAATTAATAAAAATAACAATAAAATTTTTTTAATAACAAAAAAAATTTTTTTAAAAAGAATCTTCCACTCAGAGCAGTAGTTCTCAATTTTTTGGCAAAAAATTAGATAATTCTAAAACTGTAATGCTGAACCTAAAAATATAAAGGAAGTCAATATGTGGAGTTGCTGTGGTTGAAATGAGGGTCAGGGGGAATTTTCATCATATCACCTCCTGGGTTTTGCCTTTACCTCTCAAGGCCTTCCTGTGGAACCCTGAGAGAATGCACTGTGAAGAACACTGACCTAGAAAAATGCTTTTACTAAGAAAGGACAGTGAGCCAGAGAATGGGAAAGTGTGGCATTTCATATCACCTTTGATTTTCTCAGGGAGATCATTTCAGACAAACACTACTGGCAAATAAATGCCAGAGGCATATGACTAAATGGAAGCAAAACCAAAGATACACAGAGTCTGATCAGGCTTACAAGGTTCAGATGCTGTTTATGTGACAGGGCGGCATAGAGGCAAGTGTTTCAGAAACTGTGCTGCTCTAACACCAATCTGAGCTCTGCTCCCCTCACCCCCGTCCCCCTTCCCAACTCAGGTCCTGAATTTTTCCCTACTCAGCTCTGGGTCAGCATGTTAAGACATTATCATTTTGTTTAAGCGGCAGAGAAATACAAAATTTGTCAAAAATATCTATTGTGTACTTGCTATTGTAGGGGATTCACAGGAAACAGTCCTAACAGTCTCTTTAGAAAAGAGATCTTAAATATGAGATTATGTATAACAATTGTCAAGGAGGGGATGCAAAGGAATCAGAGGAGGAGGATCATATTCACCCAGGTTGGGTCAGAAACCTTAGGGAAATGGTAAAGTTGAACCTGAAAGATTCTTAGGATCCAAGTGCAGGGGGGAGAATGGAGCCATCTTATTCATTAATAATACATTTGTGATGGTAACTGAAAATCCTCTTGTGTGTTTCAGTGATGAGGACGCTTACCGTCTTTATAACCTGGATGTCTATGGCTACGAAATACATAACAAAATGGGCATTTATGGTTCAGTGCCTTATCTCTTGGCCCACAAATTAGGTATGACTTTAGGCATTTTTTGGCTGAATTCTTCAGAAACACTAGTGGAGATCAATACAGAGCCTGCAGTAAAGGTAAGCTGTGGACCATGTCTGTGTACCCTACTTACAGAAGAAACAGTCATAGCTCTGGGCTTTATAGTGGCAGTTCTCTGCCACCAGTCATTGCAGTATAATCCGTGAAAGTTTATGGTATATATAAAAGGAACAGACTGTTACTCTCATATAGATGGACATTGTAGGTTAGAGGGAAATATTTCAAACCTTCATTCCGTTCCTTTTCCAGATGGGCCCAGTTGATGCTAAACAAAAGAACAGATCTCGAACTGATGTGCATTGGATGTCAGAGAGTGGAATCATTGATGTTTTTCTGCTGACAGGGCCTACACCTTTTGACGTCTTCAAGCAGTACGCATCTCTTACAGGTACTTGCATGTAGAAGAGCTCATTTCTTATTCCATTATATTTTCTCTAACCCCTATATCATTGCTATAAGTTAATATTTATTGTGTACCATATAGAATTCATAAACAACTTTCCCAGGCTTTTTAAGAAGCATTTCTCTTCCCACCCTCATTCTATTCAGCTTGGCTAAACATTGCACTGAGGCTAGAACTCTCCATTCTCTCATCCTTAATATTTGCTATCTGCCTCTTTGGAGCCTTTAACCCCTGAGCTTTCTTTACCTTCATCTCAGATTATCAGTATCCCGCCGAAGCCGTTTTGGCTCAGTGGTAGAACATCGGTCTGCGGACTGAAAGGTCCCAGGTTCGATTCTGGTCAAGGGCATGTACATTGGTTGCAGGCACATCCCCGGTAGGGGGTGTGCAAGAAACAGCTGGTCAATGTTTCTCTCTCATCGACATTTTTAGCTCTCTCTCTCTTCCTCCTCTCTGTGAAATATCAATAAAATATATTAATTAAAAAAAAAAGATTATCAGTATCCCAACCTTTTATATGTTCTCTTCTCTTAAAATATACCACTGGCTTTAACTCTAAAGCATTTTATCTTTAAAGGATATACTCTTTTCTGCACCTCAGTTGGTGCAGAAAAAGCATTTGACAAAATTCAACATTATCCTATCTAATAAAAGAGTAATATGCAAATTAGCCATCACTCCACTACACCCACAAGCCAATCAGGAGAAAATATGCAAAGTAACCCAACCAAGATGGCTACAGCCACAGAGAGAGCAGGAGGGAGGATTCGGTTTCTGTGGTGATGGAGGAAGCCAAGCTTTCTGTACACCCTGGCTGGCCCAGGCCTCCACTTAAGGCTACAAAGTTTCAATTATAGAAGATACAAACATTCCAACAGAATAGCAGCAGCCATGGAGCTGGAGAAAGCAGGAGGCTATGGTTGCCTCCGGCGATGGAGGAAGCCAAGCTTCTACAGCCCTGGCCTGCTTTGACCTCCGCTTAAGGCTACAAAGTTTCAATTATGGAAGATAAATAAATTCCAACAGAAATGGCTGCCACCACAGAGCAAGCAGAAGGCTTGGCTTTGCTCCAGGCTACAAAGTTTTAATTGTAGAAGATAAATAAATCCCAGATACCAGGGCCTCTGCTTGGTCATCAGGGGGCATAGCCAGCCTGCAAACTGTCACAGGCCCCTCGCCCAGGCCGCCCCACGCCCCAATAGAACTCCTACCCTGATCCGGATACCCTTCAGCTGGCCCCCATCCATGCACCAGGCCTCTATCCTATCTAATAAAAGAGTAATATGCAGATTGACCATCACTCCAACACATAAGATGGCTGCCCCCATGTGGTCAAAGATCTTGCCCCCATGTGGACACAAGATGGTCATCACAAGATGGCCAGCAGGGGAGGGCAGTTAGGAGACACCAGGCCTACAAGGGAGGGGAGTTGAGAGGGTCCAGGTCTGCAAGGGAGGGCAGTTGTGGGCAATCAAGCCTGAAGAAGAGGGCAGTTAAGGGTGACCAGGCTGGCAGAGGAGGGAAGTTGGGGGAAAACAGGCTGGCAGGGGATCAGTTAGACATCAATTGGGCTGGCAGGGGAGTGGTTAGGGGGTGAGCAGGCTGACAGGCAGAAGTGGTTAGGGGCAATCAGGAAGGCAGGCAGGTGAGCAGTTGGGAGCCAGCAGTCCTGGATTGAGAGAGGGATGTCCAACTGCCCATTTAGGCTTGATCCCACTGGATGAGGACAGTGTGGGGGGAGGTAAGGGCAGAGGATGGGGTGTGAACCAGGTGGAGGGGAGCTATCCTGCATCCACTGCTTTTACATCCTGCATCCAGGAAAAAAGAGGAACAATTGTAATAATCTGAACAATAAAGATTTATTAAATTTTTTTAAAGATTTTTTTCATGTATAATTGTATTTATTACATGTAACATCATATTTAAAATCATTTTTCTTGGAAAATTAAGGTTTATTGCATGTAACATTATTATATTTAAAATCATTTTTCTTGAAATTAAAAAAAATGGATAGAAAAAAGATGAATGAATAAACAAAATGTAATCCTATATAATGAGAGGAATATACAAATTGTCCAGGATGCCATAATATTAGGACCGCTCAACAGGAGTCACGTACAGCAGGAGCGGGTGGGCGGGGACTGCTACCCTGTTTCCCCGAAAATAAGATGTGCTAGGTCTTATTTTCAGGAGATGTCTTATTTTTCCATGAAGAAGAATATGGTACACATTTATTGTTAAATGAAAATAAAGGAAATTTATTACCTGTATACAGTGCAGTAGTACAGTAGTTGTCAACACAAACCAGACAAACTGAACCCTACAGTATCAAGAATTTACTCATTTATTCAATGACAATCATGTCATCATCTTCTGGAACATCATGATAACAATCCAATTCCTGAATTTCCTGGTGAGTTTCTTGTGACTCCATTTCTTTCAGAATCAGTGGACCAAATCTCTCATGTTTAGCAATAGCATTCTGAGACAGAGCTTAGGGGGCCTTATTTTCGGGGATGCCTTATATTTCACTCAGAAAGAAACCTGTAAGTAGGTTTTATTTTCGGAGGATGTTTTATTTTCAGGGAAACACAGTATCACCAAGATGGCCTCCACACAGCCAAGCCCAGGGCAGCCTCCTGCAGAGGCACGTGCAGGCCTGCCCAGCGCTAACATGATGCTGCCTGCTTGTGTCCCCACCCAGTTAATTAATAAATTTATATATACATGTGAGGGGCTGTTTCTCTGTTTTCCGCGACCCACACGGAAAACAACAGGTTCCTGAGTGGAAAAGCTGGGGATTAAGAAATTAAAGAAAGAGACCAAGAGGCAGAAATAGATTCATCAAGCTGGGTGATAGGTGGGTGCCATCTTCTCTGATGGAGAGGCAGCGAGCGATCCGAGCCACGCAGCAGGTTTATTTATAGGGTCAAAGGAGCATATTTGCATTCTTAACTAGGCCCTAGCATTACTAGATTTACATATCTAGATCCGCCACCCCCGCCCTCATGGGGGTGTAACCAGGACAAGGACTTTGCCAGTGCCTCGGGCTCAGCTGACAATTTAAAGGATTGTCCATGTTCCTTCTCAGGCAGCCCTCTACATATACATTTTACTAATTTCCTTTTAAGTGTCAGAGTAAAGGAAATTAGTAAAAGGGTATATATTAGTAAAATGCACTGGGCCACTAGTATATACAGAAAATGGAATCTTAGCCATAAGGAAGAAGTTCTGATACTTGCAACATGGATGAACCTTGAGAAAATTATGCAAAATGAAATAAGCCAGACACAAAAGGACAAATATTGTATGATTCCACTTATAAGAAGTACCCACAATAGGCAAGTTTATACAGCCAGGAAGTAGATTAGCAGTTACCAAGGGCTGGAGGATGAAATGGGTAATGGGAAGTTGTTGCTTGATGGCTGCAGAGTTTCTTAACAATTTGGCTGAAGAGGCAGGCATATAAGTGAACTGCTGCGCTCTGAGGTATAAGTGCTGTGTTAAAGGCATCAGCCTAATGCTATGGAAATAAGAAGGGAATAAATTCTGCTATAAATGTAGGGGTGCATGCGTTCTTTCTGGTGTTTCGGGTTTCTTCGGATGTATTCCTAGAAGTGCTGAATGCTTGGACCCTGTCGGCATTTATAAAATGGATTTTTTTGTTTGTTTGTTTGTTTTTTAAATATATTTTATTGATATTTTGCAAAGAGGAAGGGAGAGAGATAAAGAGCTAGAAATGTCAATGAGAGAGAAACATTGACCAGCTGCCTCTTGCACACCCCCTACTGGGGATGTGCCCGCAACCAATGTATATGCCCTTGGCTGGAATCGAACCTGGGACCTTTCAGTCCGCAGACCGACGCTCTACCACTGAGCCAAACCAGTTTCGGCTAGAAAATGTTTTAACAAATACAGAATCATCACTGTGGTGGTGTTGGCTCAGTTGTTATTGTCCTCTTTTAGGCACACAAGCCATGCCGTCTCTCTTCTCCTTGGGGTACCACCAGTGCCGCTGGAACTATGAGGATGAGCAGGATGTACAAGCAGTGGATGCAGGATTTGACAAACATGACATTCCTTATGATGCCATGTGGCTGGACATAGAGCACACCGAGGGCAAAAGGTACTTCACCTGGGACAAGAAAAGATTCCCCAACCCCAAAAGGATGCAGGAGCAGCTCCGAGGCAAAAAACGCAAGGTAAAATGAACCAACATTTCTGAACCTTGTAGTTACAGGCACATTTTAAAACTTGATTTGATACAAAAATAGAGAACTGTCTTATTTTTTTTAAATGGTCGTGAAAATAGTACCTTCAAATGCAATTAAAACTGTGATGGCAGAAAAGCAATGGTGACAAGGTGGTGACACCATCCATCCCTGCTTCAGCTGTCTAGGTCTCCATAAGGATCCAGCGGCCTGACTTTCAGGCCATTTGTTATGGCCACCCGTGTAGTAGTGTGATGGATCCCTCTGCCCTTGGGAAATTTGGTTCTGATGTCAAGATTGATGACATCACACAGGTACCAATATTAATTAGCCAAAGAGCATATATGGCTAACCCATCAACACAGGCAACAGCGTGTTGATGGCCAGAGAGCAAGGGGCAGGGTCTGGGTGGAGGTGGGCAAAGGAAGAAGGTCGGGTAATGGGGATATCTGTAATAGTGTCAATAAATAAAAATAAAGTTTAAAAAACGATAAATATTCCTTACTAATTAGTCACATAGCAAGGCATGGGGGGGGGAGGGGGCGGTAAGGCTGGCTCCCAAGCTCATTTGAAATTGTCCTGAGAGAGCTGGGAAGGAGACAGCTCAGCTTTTACCGTGATTAGAGAGTTAGATTGGGGTGAAGATCCCTGTGCACGTGCCAGGGCTTGTGAGTTTGAACTTTCTGATGGATGAAAGGAGGGAGCATCAGGGCTTCCTTTGTCGGCATGCACAGATGTAGGAAGAAAGGTCAGGGGGAGTGGTGGGCTTGAAAGCTCTTAACAGTCTATCAAAAACAGAGTTGATTTTTTTATTATTCCATTTTTCCTGCATGCCTCCCTGATGGATTCCTCTGGTAAATCTGGCCAAGGAAAGAACTAAAATAGAAAATGGGGAAGGAAAAGGACACTGAAAGTGTATAATGCAAGGGTGGTGGTGGTGGTGGTGGTGGTGGTGGTGGTGGTAATAGCACTGGAATATTAAACTTTAGTATGTAGAATAGATTTAAATAGATATAAGGAAGGATGGTTAGAGGTTCTAGTTAAATAAAATGGTATTAAGGTTTGAGACTAAGTGTCAAGAATGGGTATTAGAGCCTAGCCGGTTTGACTCAGTGGATAGAGCATCGGCCTGTGGACCAAAGGGTCCCAGTTTGATTCTGGTCTAGGGCACATACCTTGGTTGCAGACTCCTCCCCGGCCCAGGTTTTGGTCAGGGTACATGAGGAGATAACCAATCGATGTTTCTCTCTGTCTTTCCCTCTCTCTTCTGCTCTCTCTAAAAATCAATGGAAAATATCCTCAGATGAGGATTAACAAAACAAAACAAACAAAAAAAGCAAACAACCAAACAAAAGAATGGTGTTAGAAAGGCAAGGAGAGGTGGTGTAGACACAGCTGTGATCACAGCTTTTCTCAGACTTCCTTCAACAATATACCTATACCTTTGGGTTTTTAACATGCTATTCTCCTATTTTCCTTCATGTTTGCTTTTATCAGTGTTATGTTAGCTTCTACACATCTAGGAAGCAGAGACCTTGCCTATTTACTCCTTTATGTATAGCACCCAGCACCGCAGATAGATAGAAGCTCAATGCTATTTTTTTAAAATGTATTAAGCGGCAATAATTATTAAAGAGCAATGGCCTAGTTTTGACACCAATCTATATTTCTGTAAGCACACAAAATACTTCAGTGCTAATAGTAGTTGTTTCTGAGTAAAATTTGAACCCAAGAGCTATGATGAAAACATATAAATGAATACATGGCTCACATGAAACTGATGAGATCTTCAAACCTTTATGTCCTCCTGACAGCTTGTGGTTATCAGTGACCCGCATATCAAGATTGACCCTGACTACTCAGTGTACACTACAGCCAAAGAACAGGGCTACTTTGTGAGGAATTTTGAAGGGGGAGACTTTGAAGGAGTATGCTGGCCTGGTGAGATATTACTTTATGCACTTATCTCCCTTGTTCTGTACCAATTAACGAATTATTTCCCTTGTTCTGTACCAATGAACGAAGGTTTCACAGCCACTGTTCTTATTCCTTATAGATATCTTTTGCTACATTTTAAGCTCCTTTAAGAAATGGTATTACCTTCTTTTATATCTTTCATAATACTGATACAGTGTACATTATATCCATTTATCAGTCAATGGGTGAATAAAAAATAAACAAACCTCTAGCATGCTATTTCTCTAAGCAAATAAAAATGAAAAGCCAAGGAATGAGAAAAGGAGATGAAGATAAAGAAAGAAAAAAGGCCACCTGGCTAGTATGTCTCAATGGTTAAACATAGAACCATGAACCAGGAGGTCATGGTTCGATTCCCAGTCAGGGCACATGCCTGGGTTTCAGGCTTGATCCCCAACAGGGGGCATGCAGGAAGCTGCCCAGCAATGATTCTCTCTCATCATTGATGTTTCTATCTCTCTCTCTTCCTATCTGAAATCATTTTTTTTTTAAAGAAAAAGGGCCCTGTAGTCTCTTCCCCCTGCCATTCGTCTTTGCCCTTGTTAGCCCAACCTTTTGACTTCCAGACTATCGTAAGTGACCTCAGCTGCCTCTGGCAACTCTGGACAATTCCTTTCAGAAATTATTAGTTTAAAAGACTTGGTAGAGACTCCTTGAGGAAATCACCACTCTATTATAGCATAGCACTCTATCATAAATCCTTGCATGGCAGAGAAACCCCATGAATTTCCCCCTTTTATTAGTTATGAACACTTCTCTGTTCTTTTTAAGAGCAGACAGGTCACTACAGACTACTTGCCATCCTTCTTTGGGCCATTTCAGTGAAGGACAGGCTCCACCTTGATACTTGTTCATTGGCCTGCCCTGGGGTTGAAAGGCCTAGTAGGTTATCACTGGAGTCCAGTATTACCTCCATCCACTTCTCCCCAGACCAAGCCTCCGTGTCAGCTGACTTTTATGTTTGATGCCATTTGACTGCCGAGCTTTCACATCTGATAGTCCTCCTTACTACACATCTTACCATAAGGACCACTGTTCCAAACAGGCTGTCTACTCTTGTAATTCCACAGGTCTCTCCTCTTACCTGGATTTCACCAACCCCAAGGTCAGAGAGTGGTATTCAGGTCTTTTTGCTCTTTCTGTTTATCAGGTATGTTTTTATTCATTTTCTCTTTCTTGATTACTTGAAATGATGAAAGAATGAAAATAAGTGGTTGAATAGAATTATACTGCTTCATTGAGTAGCCCCTAATAAATACCGTATTTTCCGGCATATAAGATGACCCTCTAATTTTTACAGTTAAAACATAGGTTTAGGCCTAAATTTGCTGTATAAGACTACCCCCCACTTCCGAGGCAACACCATTTCTTTTTTTAATTAAATTTTTAATGAATGACATTTTTTGAATATACCGTAATACACCGTACATTGATACGATAAATGGAAGGTCTCTTCACAAATGGCAATGCCATGAACTTGACCGAGAAACAGGAAATCCAAAAGAGACATTTTTCGGGATATACTTGGCGTATAAGACGACCCCCGATTTTCAGTTGACATTTTTTCATTTCAAAAGTCGTCTTATACGCCGGAAAATACAGTAATGCTTGTATGAAAAGGAAAGGGTGGAATCACATTAGTCTTTGGTGGTGCTAGGAGAGGTGCCATGTGTATTATTAAATGCAAAAAGCTATGATTTTGACCTCTATTACAATATATCAAAGTACTTAATGATAGAGATATATTAAATTTTGAAATTACTATATATTTTTATATAAAATAGCATTTTATAACTCTTATTGAAAGGTGATGATATAGCCGATACCGGTTTGGCTCAGTGGATAGAGCGTCGGCTTGCGGACTGAAGGGTCCCGGGTTCGATTCTGGTCAAGGGCATGTACCTTGGTTGCGGGCACATCCCCAGTAGGGGGTGTGCAAGAGGCAGCTGATTGATGTATCTCTCATCGATGTTTCTAACTCTCTGTCCTTCTCTCTTCCTCTCTGTTAAAAATCAATAAAATATATTAAAAATAAAAAAAGAAAGGTGATGATATATGTGGAAATATCTTGCAAATTATGTCATTAAAAGTAAGTTATAATAATAAATTGATTCCTAAATCTTATAAAATCCACTGAGAAAACAGGAGAGGCCTCATCTAGTGAACTGTTTTCAACCAATTGTGGTGATGATGATGATGATGATAATGATCCTATATAATAAAGAGGTGATATGCAAATGGCCATTACTCCAACACATAAGATGGCTGCCCCCAAGTGGACACAAGATGGCCCCCACAAGATGGCCAGCAGGGGAGGACAGTTGGGAGAGACCAGGCCTGCAAGAGAAGGCAGTTGGGATAACCAGGCCTTTAGGAGAGGGCAGTTGGGGGGGACCAGGCCTGCAGGGGAGGACAGTTACGGGCAATCGGGCCAGCAGGGGAGCACTTAGGCATTAATCAGGCTGGCAGCGGAGTGGTTAGGAAGTGATCAGGCAGGCAGGCATAAGTGGTTAGGAGCAATCAGGCAGGCAAGAAGGCAAGCGGTTGGGAGCCAGCAGTCCTGGATTGTGAGAGGGATGTCCAACTACCCTTTTAGGCCCAATCCTGGTCTGGCAGACCCAAGATTTGAACTCAGTTCTGTTTGTTCCAAACCCAGCTCTTAACCGTTCAGTGCTAGTTCCTGAGCATCATGTATTAGGACACAATATAAGAGAAGTATGAACAACACTTGTGCCACATACTCATTCATTTCCTTGTGTTGTGTACGGCTTTCACATTACCAAAGCAGAGTTGAGTTAATGAAAAAGAGATCTTATAGCCCACAAAGTTAAAAAACTGGTTCTTTTCAGAAAAAGACTGCCAACCTTGCCCTATATGGTGCTAAAGAAGAACAGTGAAGGTACTTAAATATTGAAAATCATATAACCTTGTTCATAGACATACACATTTAGAAACAGTTAAAGGTAAAGAGTCAAAAGAAAACACATGAGCCTCCTTTAGGCATTTGGAAGACTATCATGTGGGTGAGGCGATAGATGTATTCTGTGGTATCCCAGAAATCAAGCTAGACCTTGTGAGAGAATGTTACCATGCAGAAAATAATGGAATGAGCTGCTTGAGGGACTCCTTGTCATTGTAGCTATCGAGTCAAATGCTGAGAGACCAGGGATTATATAAAGAGATTGTAAGACCATGATTAGATGACTCAGTCGTCCTTTCTCACTCTTTATTGACCAATTCTATGTAGAAAATAAACTATAGATCATACTAACAAGCAGGCATTTTAGCTGTCAAATATTTCAAAGTTAGAGGAAAAGCAGAATTTTATCATATACAACTACAATTGCCCTTCCCTCAGTTTAGAGTTGTAGCAAATGATGGATGATAGAGCTTAATTGTGATCATTCACAACCTTTCCTGTGGGGGTTCTCCAGGTGACCTCGGAGTAGACTTGCTGGGAAATATGTATTTCACAGACAATAGAGCACAGCATTCTTTCATTCATTAACAAATACTTATTGGAAACCTTTTATGGTTCGGGTGTCATTCTAGGTGTTTGGGAACTATCAGTGAACTCCCTGCCCAGTAGAGCTTTTCATTCTAGCAGTGGAGCTGAGGACAGAGCATAGATAATAAACATAATGAATAATAAATGAAATGGAATAGGAAAGAGGAATAAGAGCAGCTGTCATATTAACATAATCACTGTAGAAGTAATACCTTGACCAAGATTTATTTCCTAGGGATCTACTGACATCCTCTACATATGGAATGACATGAATGAACCCTCGGTCTTTAGAGGGCCAGAGCAAACCATGCAGAAGAATGCCATTCATCATGGCAACTGGGAGCACAGAGAACTTCACAACATCTATGGCTTTTATCATGTAAGACAGTCAAGAAGAAGCCAACTGTACCCATGTACCCTGCCTTTTGAGCTGAAAGTTGTTTCCTTTGTAATAGCCATATCATTCTGTTCATTTCTCTTTGTGTGTCTTCTACAATTAGTCTTACCCGGTTGTAGCCAATATAAGACTCATTTCTCCTTTTGTACTTTTGCTTTCTATAATGAACTTGATGAATTCATAGATATTGTAAGATTAATGGTAACAGAAACATCTTGGACAGGAGCCATTAGTAAATAGTATTGCATGCTACCTCAAAACTTTTATTGAAGTAAACAAACCATGTGTAAATACATAAAGGCAATTAGGACAAATGTTCTGCAATTCCACAAATTTCTAAATACATTAAGTCTTACATAATTTCATAAGTACACTTTTTAAAAGTAGAAAGTCTTAAGTACTCAGCTTTCTCAATAGAATTGTCTTCAATTGGCCAATCACAATGGTCGGCAAACTGTGGTTTGCAAGCCACATGCGGCTCTTTGGCTCCTTGAGTGTGGCTTTTCCACAAAATACCACATGCGGGCATGTACAGTGTGATTGAAACTTTGTGGCCCATGCACAGAAGTCATTTTTCCGGCTCTCAAAAGAAATTTCAATCATTGTACTGTTGATATTTGGCTCTGTTGACTAATGAGTTTGCCAACCACTGGCCAATTACATCTAAAAAACCCAGGCATGTATAGAGATTCTACTTAGTAGTCACTGGCCCTAATTTATACATTATTTTCAGAATGTAACTGTTCTCATGGCCCTCCCACCAACTGTTATTTTCCAGTGGGAGCTGCTGGCTAGGTATAGCTTTATTTTCTTTGTTTACTTCTCTAATAGCCTCTTGCTATAATTGCAAATAACTTTAGCGAGTTTCCTTATGTAAGCCAGAGCCAGTCACTTAACTTCTCTGAATCTTAGATTTTTTTATTAATGAAGACTGTCTCAGAGGTTGTTGTGTAGATTATAAGAGAAAATCTTATAAAATGCCTGATAATAGTAAGCACCAAAAGGCTTGTCTGGCCTGTGGAAATCAGGCCGAAATTAGCAGTCCAACATCCCCCAAGGGATGTTTAGTGCGCAAAGCTGCAGGCAGCCAGGCACCCCGCCGCTCCTCTCATCTTGGCCCCACTGTGCCTGCCACTGCCATAGAGGCAGGAAAGGTTCATGCTGCTGCAGCTGCACTCGCCAGCCATGAGCCCGGTGTCTGGTGCCTGTCAGTCAGCTGAGCGGTGCTCCTACTGTGAGAATGCACTCCAGGGAGCAGCTCCTACATTGAGCGTCTGCCCCCTGGTGGTCAGTGCACATCATAGTGACTGGTCAAACAGTCGTTCGGTCTTTTGGTCGTTCAGTCATTTAGGCTTTTATATATATATAATTCCATTGCTATTTTAATCAAATAAATTTCCATTATTTTAATAATGGAATTTAGAGTAGTTTCATTACATCATAAAAATTGTTTGATGGATTTATTTTAATATTTTCCATTTTACATCCCCACCTATTTTTTTTTTTGCATGTTAAGTAGTTTATTGAGGATGTCTACACAATGCCTTAATCCAATCATCTGTTTGACATTTTTCTCCTTTGACTTTATAGCAAAAGGCTACTGCAGAAGGACTGATACAACGATCTAAGGGAAAGGAGAGACCCTTTGTTCTTACACGTTCTTTCTTTGCTGGATCACAAAAGTATGGTAAGGAATAGCTCATAGGATCAGACTTAAAAACACAAATTTTTATAGACCTGTTAATGCCTTCCTTTTCAGTAGCCATTGGGCAGGCCTTAGATGTGCCCTGAAGTATGTATTTTTATCCTATGATCAGAGTAAACCAATTTTAATAAAGTACATTTACTCATTTCCCATTGAAAAAAATGGCCACTTAATTTTTGGGTGAATGATTTCAGAGTATCTGTTTGCGGGGATGGTTATCTCTGATTCTGCCTCTTTGACTTATCAAAACTAGGGAAAATACACTTCTATCACATTCGTTCAAACACTTGTTTCACTCAGCAATATGCCTTAAAATAGACCTAGCTGTGGCTTAAGGTCAGGTTCATCTATAACTGGATCTGGTTTACTAGCTAATGCAGATCTAGTTTAACTTTACCACCCTGTGGCAGGAAGACTATTTTAAGTCCCCAGGCACAGATAACTGGGAGCTTAGGTTCTCATTTGAAGAATCCAGGCTTTACTGTACATAGCCATTACTAGGCCTCCTACTCCATCCCTGCAAATTAGGCCCTGTGGTACTCAAGAAAAGGCTAAATTATTGTCATCTTAAGCAGAGATTTATATACAGATTTTCTCACCACAGTATTATTTCTTTAACCAACAAAAAAAAAATCCAAGTATGTAAGGGAATAGTTATAAACTATAGTATATTTATATGTTAGACTGTCATAAAGTTATGTAAAACTAGAGGCCCGATGCATGAAATTCATGCATTTGAGGTGGGGGGGGGGAGGGTTCCCTCAGCCCAGGATGTGCCCTCTTGCACTCTTGCAGTCTGGGAGCCCTTGGGGGATGTCATGGGGAGCGGGCTTAAGCTTGCAGTTGGACATCCTTAGCTCTGCTGTGGAGGTGGAAGAGGCTCCCACCACTGCCACTGTGCTCACCAGCGGTGAGTCCGGCTTCTGGCTGAGCGGTATCCTCCCTGTGGGAGCGCACTGACCACCAGAGGGCAGCTCCTGCATTGAGCCTCTACACCCTGGTGGTCAGTGTGCATCATAGTGACTGGTTATTCCACCACTTGGTCAATTTGCATATTAGCCTTTTATTATATAGCATAGCCTTAATTGCATGAGAAAATGTTTGACATCATGATAAAAGGAAAAAAAGTCTAAATATATTTATATATCATCTTTTCTACCATGCCAGTATGGCCAAGGATGAATCCAAGTGGGGGCAATGAAGGATTGAGAAAAGATAGACAAGAGAAAGAAAGCAGGGACTCAGTGGGATGCTGCTTCTCTGATGGGGAGCCAGCAGCGTCTTGGACTACAAGCCGTGTCTTTATTTTATAGCCAATGCCACAAGGCAAAGGAAAGGCGTGCTCAAGATGTTTACAGCATTCCCATGGGTTTCAATCCTACTCAATTACATGCACCTGATCAAACTTTGTTTACTTGCACCCTATGTCACTTAGACACGTGTTCAAACCATGGGTTCAAGTTTACAACTATAGCTGTTGGCTATAATTGTGCTGGGAAGGCTCTGTCCTCCACGCTGGTCCTTGCAAGAGAGGACTATGCCCTCTTATCAGTCCAAGGCTTGAACCTGTCCAAACACTGTAGCCACGCCCCACAATCCTTATTTTGTGTGAGTGTATATTTCTACTGGAGGCCCAGTGCATTCTCAAGCACCTCTTCATCATGGATGCACCACATTCTTTCCTCTTCCCCGTCCCCAAGCCCCATTCTTTACTGCCCCCCCCCTTCTGGGGAGAAGGTGGCAGGCTTCGCACTCAGCCTGCAGGTGCACACTGACTTGAGACACAGTGGGGTGGGAGCTGGAGGTGGGGCGGGCACGGGCTTGCTTTTGGGCCACAGCAGAAGCAGGAGTCACCACCTCTCAAGTGCGCAGGCTGCCAGGGCGAGGCCTGGTTAGTGCTGGGAGCTTTGCCCAACCGCTGCAGTGGGGTACCTGGCAGTGCAGCGCCCTCCACTGAGGTGGCCCCTCCTCTCAACCTCTGCCTCAGGGCTGTGGGTCCGTGATCCTCCACACAGGCATCCTTCCACGCCGACAGACATCACCTCTTGCTTCCCATGGGGCCAATCCATGTTTCCGGGCCACTGCAGAACCTCGCTCTCTGCGGGCGAGGCAGACCCCCACCCACTGGCCCCCTGCCCTGGCCCAAGCACCTCCGGTGCGCCCCACCTTGGCACCACTCTGCGCCCCTTGGGCAGCCAGCCTCCTGGCCGGCCACTTCGCTGAAGCCATAGCGCTCACCCAGGAGCCATCCCTCAGGTGGGCCAAGAAGGACAAAGCCCAAAGGGAGTGAGTCTTGAACCCCCAGATCCTATTCTCTGGATTTCCTCCCACACCTTCTCTCTGTTTCACATCTTGAACAAGTACCAGGTTCGGGCACCTTGCGGCTCAGCCACATGGCCTCCCAGCAGACCTGTGGATCTGTGGCCAGAGGCCCGGCCTGGGTCTCAGCAGCCCCATTCCTGCTGGAGAGGGCTGTTGTAGGAGAACCAGAGCTCCCCAACTCCAGAGGAGGCACCACAGGCTCACATCCCCCCGCTGACACTGCCCACCCACCTGAGCCTGCTGCACACACAGCCTGCTAAACTGGTTGTTACATTACGGAGTAACAGATAATTAGCATATTCCTCTATTATTATATTGGATTCTAGAAAAGACTAATTTATAATCATAAAAATCAAATCAGTGATTGGGTAAGGTGGAAGTTGTTGATTGAAAAGATGGAAACTTCTGCTGTAATGGAAATGTTCTATACCCTGCTTGTGGTGATGGTTGCGTGGTGCACACATTTTAAAACTCCTCACTTAAAATACATTCAGTTAGACTTCAAAAATAAGTGATTTCAGAATATTTTTGCAATTTATTTTGTTGATTTTAGTAACTTTTCACATTAGAAAATTAATATATTTTCATTGTGAAAGACCAGAATTTATATATTTTAAGGTAAGGAAGAAATGCATTCCTTTATATTAATTGTGTCTATACAAATAAGGAATCTAAACATGAAATCAAGGGCATGGGCTGATTTGTGATTTTTTTTTTTTAATACCTTGTTACTGGTGTCCAAAGGTGCTGTGTGGACAGGCGACAACAAAGCAAAATGGAGTTACCTGAAAATTTCTATCCCTATGTTACTCACTCTCAGCGTTACCGGGATCTCTTTTTGTGGAGGTAAGATGATACCCTCAGCCTTGAAGTAAGAGAAAATAAAAAATGAGGGTGTTTTTGTCAAAGCTGGTCACAAATCCCTTTTCATTGGTTGTTTTGGATAGGTCTGAACGTGGGGAAGAAGATGAGGAAAGTGGAGGGGAGATTAGAGAGGAGAGAAAGGGTAGCTTCAGAGCTGTTTTGTTATGCCCTCAATCTTGAGTTTGAGGACATAAAGTTAGGAGGGGGTCAAAGTGCTGCTTTCCTCATTCTATTATTGCTTCCTCAGCCACTCTTGGTAACTGTGTTTCTCATCCTGAAATATCTTTCTTTTTGAACGAGAAATGGAAAGAACTACAAAGAATTTTGCAAATAAGAAGTCAGCCTTATAGAAAGTTTTTACTCCGCAAGTTTAAAATTCTGAAATATTTTTACTTTTAAATATATATATATATATTTTTTTCGTCCCCTTGGGAAAGATAAATTTAGTTAAAATAAGATTCCCTAGTGTGCCACCTCGCAAATCCAATAATTCTCTGCAGATGAGAGATCTAAATATGGAAGGTGCTCAGGATGGCAACAAATCCAGCTGCTCCTTCTTTTCTCTAGGAATAGAAGTGACTTAAGATCACTTTTTGATAAGTGTATTTTTATGGCATTGGTCCATACAAGGAATATGTATATTGCTTAAGGACTAACCATGAAATTCTACTTACACCTCTCATTGTCATTATCTGTTTCTCTTTAGCTATTTCTATAATAAATGTTCCTCCTAATTTCAGACTTCAGTTAGACTTCAAAAATAACTAATTTTTATCTTGCCCTAGCTGTTGTTTTCAAAGGAAATCAATTGCCAGCCCTCCACCGCCATCCCACCCCTAAATACAGACATTGACTCAGACAGACATTTTGCAATTTCTGGGTTACCTGGGTTCAGGAACATACCTGAAAGTTGATCTTGCAGTAAAGCCTCTGACCTTTGACAAGAATAGAATGTAAAAGAGCGTACTGTCAGGTCCCCAAACAGGCAGTTTTTTACTGTGCGCTCCCTAATTTGAGGCCTCGGTGTCATTTTGAGTGCATGCACAGCACCTTTCTCCTGCCGTTCTTCAAAGCCGCATTTTACTTGAGTGCATCATTTATTAGAAGCCTGGTTGCCTCACAAGCCTTTCTTTCTTTTCTTTTTTCTTTCTTTTTTTTCCCCCATTGCTTTTCAGAGAGAGAAAGTGAAAGGGAGGGAGGGAGAGAGAAAGAAAGAAACTTTGATGTGAGACACACGCATGGATTGGTTGCCTCCCACATGCTCCTTGACCAGGGGGTGGAGAGCGAACCCCCAACCCAGATGCATGCCCTCAACCAGAAATCAAATCCACAACCCTTTGGTACTCTGAGTACGGAGCCACACTGGCCAGGACTCACAAACCTTTCTTTGACTAATGACTCAGCTGATGTCGGCGGCTTCGTGGGGGATCCAGACGTGGAGCTGCTAGTGCGTTGGTACCAGGCCGGAGCCTACCAGCCCTTCTTCCGTGGCCATGCCACCATCAAAAGCAAGCGACGGGAACCCTGGCTCTTTGGGAAGGAACACACCCGGCTCATCAGAGAAGCCATCAGAGAGCGTTACACCCTCCTGCCCTATTGGTATTGTCTGTTCTACTGTGCACATGTGACTGCCGAGCCCATCATTAGGTAAATGGGCTTCACCTGTCCGAGGCCCCAGCAAACAGTCTAACCAACCACTGGGGAATGGGGTAATTACAGTGATTTCAAGAGAACAGGCGAAGGAAAGCCATGTTTAATCGTGTCACTCAGCTTACTGAACACCAACTGGGAGGAGGGTGCTGGCAGTGGAGGTAGCAGAAGATAACTCTGTGATTCAAATGTTAATCATTGATGTGAGAAAGAAATAGAGCTTTTCAAAGAAAAATGAAATGGCTTTGTAACTGAATTCATTCAGTATTTAACCCATAAGCATCCTCTCATGAAGAACATTTTATTCTGCCAGTCTTGAGCTCTATCTCACCCTTAGGACTGAACTGTTCCAAGTTGAGGTGAACATTTTTCTATTCTGATTGTATTTGGAAGGCAGAAATGAAATACCAACTTTTTAAGCTAGAGGAGGAATCACACATACTAAGTCTCCTGGATCCTCCATCCCTAAACCTGGCTCAGATCAGAATCATCTGGGAGCTTCTTAAAAAATACAGATTGTGCTGAAACCGGTTTGGCTCAGTGGGTAGAGTGTCGGTCTGCGGACTGAAAGGTCCCAGGTTCGATTCCGGTCAAGGGCATGTACAGTGGTTGCGGGCGCATCCCCGGTAGGAGAGGTGCAGGAGGCTGCTGGTCGATGTTTCTTTCTCATCGACATTTCTAGCTCTCTATCCCTCTTCCTTCCTCTCTGTGGAAAATCAATTAAAAAAAAATATACAGATTGTAAGGCCATGCCTCCAGACCTCCTAGGAATCCCTTTGGGAAGGTTCCAAGGATCTATATTTGTTAGAAAATTTCCGGGTGGTTCTAGACATCAGCCAGCTTTAGAGACCATTGCTTTGTTACCATTTTCAGTAGGAAAGGGAATACATTATTACAAAGGCTAGTGAATAAACTAAAAATAAGTCTCTTATTTAAAAAAGATAATTTCCTCAAATTGAAAAATATTAATAGAACCATTAAAGTAATATTCAGATACATAGATATTGAAGGTTTTCTTTATAAGCCCAAATGTCTTCTAGGTAGTTATGTACAACAATAATAATTTAAAAAAAAAAAACCACACACACAACAATTTTTCAAACCTCTAAAATTGTTGCCAGTTTGAAAACAAGAAAAAAAACTTCTCATTTCAATAGGTAATGAATGTTAAAAGATGCATGAAAGGCAGTGACAGCATAAAGAAATGGCACAGATTTTATATCATTATAAAATGATTCTACAAACATTTAATTTGTTTTACACCAAACATGTTAGGCATTTGGACTTCTGATTCTGCCTGTCAAAGTAGTAATTATTTCTAGTTCAACAATCAGAAGGAAAAATTGCAGGTACCAGATTTCTCAATCTTTCATTTAAACATTTAAGCTAATTGATAGTTCTTTTACATAAGAAAAATACAAGTAATCATAGCAATTGCTCATAAAATCTTGAAACAGATGAAAGGAGACTTGGCTCTGGCTTTTTCTAATTTCCTTTGAATGCTTACAAAACTGAAAGTATATTAGTAAATGATTGAATTGTAATAAGAATCTAATAATGTTGAAGAAAGAATTTATTTTTTCTTACCCCAGGCCTCTGTGGGTAGAGTTCCCTGATGAATTAGAGACTTTTGGTGTGGAAGATGAATACATGCTGGGTAAGCATTTCTTGATTAATTATAATTATGATAAATACTGTAATCGTGTTCTTATTGAAAGATGAGACAGAGGGCCGAAAACAAGGACTACAGGCTTTATTAGAGAAGGACCCCTGCCGGGCTGTTTAAGGGAGCAATAGGAAGGGATGGGGCTTAGGGTACTCGGCATGAGCTGATTGGTGGTTTCATATAAGGCACATGATTAGGCACTTAGGTACTTAGGAATCAAGGACTTAGGGTATTTGGCAGGTACAGTCTATATAAGGTGCCTGGTTAGGTGCTCAGGAATGTCCAGGCCGCTGGTGCAGTTTACATCATACTCCATCCATCAACTGGGGGAAGGAAGGATCTATCATTAATGGAGAAGAAATAAAGTTGAAAACGAAGTCTGAAAACATCCTTTCCTTTTAATTGAGTGCTTTTGTTGTTTTAAGGGCCATTAGATTGAACTTCTTAAAGGTAGAGACCTTGGTGAGCTGAACCTATGAGTCATCAGAGAGATGCATTGCTAGAAAAAGGATAGGTGCTCACAGGGGTGACTATTATTGTCTGTTGTCCATCCCCTTACAGTATATTGAAATTCTAGGAAGGAAGCCTCAGTCTCTTTCTGTGCATCAGTGTGGCAAGTAGTTGGACAAACATAGCAGAGCATGGACGATGGGCAAGGCACAGAAAGTCACGAGGGTGAAAGCTCCAGGTGCCTAGCATTGGGCAAAACTGAGAAAACAAGGATCTCCCTGGTCGTGTGGTTTAAACCCCCTGGACCTTCATATCGATGGTCATGCGATTCGGACCTTCCTCTGACCTTTCCTCCCTTGGCGTATTGCTAGTCAAGTGGTTTTAGACATCCTTAGAGGAAGAATAAGAGGGCAGGAGAATGGCCTCATAGGATTCCCTTGCACGACCACACCCTTAAGCTTCTCCATTTTTTTAGGAAGTGCTTTATTGGTTCATCCAGTCACAGAGCCAAAAGCTACTGTGGTTGATGTGTTTCTGCCAGGATCAAATGAGGTAAGAGTAAATGACAGTCATATATTTTATGTCTCATATCTCATTCCTCATTCTGATGAATTATCCCCTGTTAGGAAATAGATTTCTTCATCATGCAATTGTGAAGACAGCCCAAATGACTAGAGCAACTAAAGATTCTTATAAGTCATGACACTGTACTCAGTGATCAAGAAACTTAATGGAAGTGCAGGGAGAAAGTTGAGAAGGTGGGTTAGAATGGTTCTTTATCTTCACACTTTGACTTGTGTAAGTGACTCCTTATAAACCCACTGAGATTTTAAGTATGAATAAATCTTTCCTCTATTATGAGGTATCTGGGGAAAACAAGTATAAATATATTTTGCTCTTTGGTTCTAGCTCTCTCTGAATCCTGAGTTTTTGTCACCAAAAGCTGGTAGCCAGACATTCACCAAGGTGGATAAAAAATAATAACCGTGACATTCCTCTCTGCCCCTCCAGCCTTCTCTGCTCTTGTATGGGGTATTTCCATTGATTTTTGCCACTGTATAAAATCCTGGGCCTGTTGGAGCCCTGGACTCCAACTCAGGCAGGGCAAGAGGCAGAGGTGATATAAGCCAAAGGGCTGCAGAGCAGCCAGCCGAGGGTGATAAGAACAACAGTCTTCAACGACAAACCAAGGATCCATCCAAAGCAGCTTAGGAGAGACAGGGCAGAAACTCGAGGCATCAGACTAGGACAAGAGTATAGGGACGGAGAGCAGGAAGGAGGCAGACCCTGCAGAGGATCCATGAGCACTGGAGCATTGCCACAGGCTTCAGCGGATGGGAAAGAGCCATGAAGTATACTGAACTGATGTGGGCCTGTCAGGGCAAGCTATTCTTGGATTGTCATGGTAAGTGGTGCAGTAGCTGAGCCAGGCCATGCTCAATGCTCAGTACTATCAAACACTGACATGGCAACACCAGGAAGCCAGTGCCAGTGTTCTCCCTCCATCCAGCTTTACATGTATGGTTGTTGCACTGGTTCCTTTTTTTCAGGTTGAATAAAATGGTTTAATGTGTTTTCTTTATATATTCATCTTTTGTATTGGTTTCTTGGGGCTGCTGTAATAAATTACCACAAATTTAGTGGCTTAAAACGACAAAAATTTATCCTCTCACAGTACTGGAGACTTAAGTTCAAAATCAGTGTGTCGGCAGGATTGGTTCCTTCTGGAGGCTCTGAGGAGGGATCTATTCCATGGCTCTTTCCCGCTTCTGGCGGCTCCCCCCAATCTTTGCTGTTCCTTGGCTTGTAGCTGCATTACTTCAGTCTACCCCTCCATTGCCACAGTGCCTTCTTCTCTGTGTCTGTGTCTCCTCTTCCTTCTCTCTCTTAAATGTGATGACATTTAGGGCCCACCTGGATAATCCCAGATAATCTCCTTATCTCAAGCTCCTTACTTTAGTCAAATCTGTTACCAATATTCATTCCATCCAGGGATTAGGAAGTAGCCAGGCTTTTCTCCAGAATGTTCATGCTATGGTCTTTGCCCTTGGTTTCTCCAGGAATTTACAATTCTGAAGCTGAGGGCTCTTTACAAAGGTTCCCTTGCCAAGTAGAAACTTGAGAAAAAAAGGTCAAATACAACAGCTAAATAAATTGTCCTGCCAACCAACACTGAGAGAAAAGGGGGACATCTGTAATACTTTCAGCAATAAAGATTTTTTAAAAATTGCCCTGCTAAGCATTTCTGCTGAGAGTTTCTCAAGTTGATTCTAACAAAGCATAGGCTCCCATTGAGAGGGACCAGCCTCCTTTCTGATTCGGCCATAAACTTTTATGAATGGCCTGTCATAATTGCAAGCACATTGTTGTGACCATGTAATGTACTCCCTCAACACTATCTCCCAGAGAATCTTTAACTGTTTCTCTTGCTGCATCTTCCCAAAGCCTGGGTAGAAGAGCTAAGCTGTTCCTTGCCAGACATTTGCCTCACTGATTGGCTAGCACCGCATCACAGGGTGCACGGGAAATATATCTAAGATCCCTCACTGTCATTTCCCCCATGTTTCTGTATGGCCCATTCTCTTTCCTTCAGGGCTTTCCTTGAACATCTCCTTCCCAGCAAGGACTTCTCTGACCACCTCTCTAAGATTATACACCCCCCCCCCCCCCCGCTGCTCCTGTCCAGCCCTCCTTCATCCTTTATTTTTCTCCACAAAATGGTGACACCTCCTAACATTCTGTATATTTACTTAGATGTTTTGTTTATAATCTCTCTCTCCCATTAGAATGTTAGCTTTTTTCCGGCTTATTTTTATCTATGTTCACTGCTGCATCCTCAGCATCTAGATGGGTTATTGGCACATAGCAGGCCTTCGATAAATACTTGTTGGGTGAGGAGCTTGGTGACTGAGCTTTAGGTCTGGTCTATATGGTGTTTTATACCAGTCATTCCCTTTCTAGGTTGGAGAATCTTTGTATATGGCACCAGCAAAAATACTCTCTACCTCTCATTCTAATTAGTTCTAAAAGTGGTAGACAGGTAAATCTAAAATCCTATTTTAGTCAGTGTTTTTTTTGTTTTTAGCTTTTACCCCTCAAATCTCTTTATTTAAAGCTATCTTGGAATTCGCCAAAAAAGACATTTACAAGAAAAGAAACTTAAGACAATATCCCTCATAAACACAGACACAGAAATACTTCATAAAACATTAGTAAATTGAACCCAGCCAAGGATACTACATTGTGATGAGGTGGGATTGATCCTGTTGAATTAAGAGTTCAATGTAGCTAATCATCGTAAAGTCACAGCTCTCACAGTCACAGCAGGACAGTGACAGACGCAACAGCTCAGCTATATAAAGGATGTGATAATCCCAGGACATGAGCTTGTGAAGGAGGCTCTGTGGCTGGATTGGAAGAGAGAAAAAGAGGTTTTTGTTTTCACGCTGATGGTTTCTTAAGGATTTAGCCCATCAAATTACTTTATAGTACCTTTTTGGTACTTCAGCAACAAAACCCTTCGGACAGGAGCCCCAGATAAGAGTTTGAACCTTATCCCTGAATTGTACTTTGTAAAAAAAAAAAAAAAAAAAAAAAAAAAAGATCATATTATAGTCATTCTAGTGTCCATTTGTTTTTCTACAAGATGCTTCCTTCTCTGACACTTTCTTTTTTCCACGCCTCATCTGTCATTCATTTGCTTGCAATGTGCTTTCATTCTTTGTTGCTGCCTTCTCTCTCTCATCACATTTTTTACCAACAGACGTATTAAGTTCTAATAAGCCAACTGAACTGTAAAATCCATAAGGTCAGGAACTGCGTCTTTCTGTTTGCTCATGTTTACCTAGCAGTGCTAGGCACATGGTAGGTTATTTAATTGATAACTTTTGGATGGATAGATGGATGGATGGATGGACAAATGAGATGCCTTTTTAGTCAAATTAATCTGTCACATTAGTAGGTTAGTCTTTTGGGGTCTTCTTAAAAGTATGTATTCTTCCTAACTTCTACTCAAGATTTTTTAAATTATACTTATTTTAGTTTTCTGGTTACATGTATTTGAAATCAAGATAAATGGGTGTTTTACTGAATAATAAAATTGTGAGCAGAGTTGCTCATATACTCTTTTTCACTGGGGTATGTTCCTTTCCAGGTCTGGTATGACTCTAAGACATTTGCTTCTTGGGAAGGAGCATGTACTGTGAAGATCCCAGTAGCCTTGGACACTGTAAGTTGTTTTCAGACTGTTATTTTTATCTGTTATACTGTATTAGCCTGCTTGACCTGCCATAACAAAATAGCACAGACTGGTTGGCTTAAAAAATAGGAATATATTGCCCTGGCCAGTTGCTTGGGTATTGTCCTGTGAACCAAAAGGTTGTCGGTTTGATTCCTGGTCAGGGCACATGCCCGGGTATCAGGCTCCGTCCCCAGTAGGAGGTGTGCAGAAGGCAGCCAATTGATACTAATTCTCATAGAGATGTTTTTCTCTCTCCCTCTCCCTTCTTCTCTCTCTTAAAAACAAACAAACAGTCAAACAAAAAAACCCCAGAAATTTAATATCTCATAGTTCTGGTGGCAAAAGTTCTAGAGTAAGGTGCCAACCAATTAAGTTCCTGGTGAGGACACTCTTCCTGACATGTGGACAGCTGCCTTCTTGCTTTGTCCTCACACAACAGAGGGAGAGTGAGGTATTGGATCGAGGCCCCAGTCTTATGACCTCACTTTATCCTAATTACTTTTGTAAAGGCCCTATCTCCAAATGTTTACAGTCACATTGGAGGTTGGGGCTTCAACCTATGAATTTGGGGGGACACAAACATTCAGTCCATAACATGTGCTTACATAGAAAGAACCAAAGATATTAGAGTCCTACAAAATGGCATGGATATATGGAGACAGAAAATAGATTAGTGGTTGCTTAAGGTTGGGGAAAGGAGAGATTTGGGGGAGTAATGGGTAGTGACTGCTAATGAGATTCTTTTTTGGGTGATAAAAGTGTTTTAAAATTCATGTGGTGATAGTTGCATGACTCTGGATATACTAAAAGCCATTTAACTATATATATATGTTAAAAAAATGACTTGTATGGCATGTGAATTACTTTAATAAAGCTGTTAAAATATGAGAAAAAGAGTGTAAAAATAATATATATTATGATGAAACGTAAAGGACAAACAACTCTTTCCCATATATTTACAATAATATGTCTAAGAAAAATAATAACACTGAACATAGAAAGCAAACATGGAAGTCATCACACAGGACATACAGCATGTCCTTCTGCTGGACCACGTCAAAACACATGTTTGAATTGTGACGCTGGTCCTCTAGGCCCAAGAGAATGCAGTCCGTTATGACGTTAGAATCAAAGTGGCCCATCTGGATAGAATTTCTGAAGGGAAGGTGGCTCCTGCAGCTGGATCGCCACCATCATCACAAACCCCAAGTAGTGTAAAGATTAACAAATGGGTATTGATGTTATTTTATTTTAATTATGAGTAGCAATATGAACTCCATTATAAAGAAAATGATTTCAGATGTCAACTTTCAGACTTAGAAGAGACCTTAACCTGCATTTACTCCAATCTCTCAGGTAAAGACACCGAGGTTCAGAGAGGTGAACTTACTTGTCCAGGATTGTGGCTAGATTATGGTAGAACTGAGACTAGATCCCATTTCACGCTAACTTACTACCTCATTCTTTGAGGGGAAGAGAAGAGATTGGCTGATGAGGGTCGGAAGATAGATGTGCTTTACTTCTTGCTGCCACCCGCAAGTCAAGCAGAAGGTGGACATCTTAGCTACTCCACCCTCACTCCCAGCTTCATTTAGACTCTTGTACTCTTCTCCCTGCTGCATTTACTCAGAGCAAAGTACACTCCTTTAGGTCATCCAGGGAGCTTTCTTACAGAGGACCATCCTGGCAGACAGGACACCTGCTGTGCTTTCCCTGCTGGGAATGGCATTCCAGGAGACCCGTAGGTATGGGTCATGCCTCCAGTCCTATTGTTAGAGTCACTTAAAGTGCCCTTGGTGGCTTCTGTAACAGAAGTTTCACAGATTTAGCCTTAGAATTGAATCATTCATCCTGATGATCCAGGGAATCAGGGAGCAAGATGGGTATAGGTTGTAGTGAATAAGAACAAAAGTCACCTCCCACAAACAAAGGGACTACCAATTAAAAATATAGCCAAAACCAATTTGGCTCAGTGAATAGAGTGTCACCTGTGGACTGAAGGGTCCCATGTTCAATTCCAGTCAAGGGCATGTACCTTGGTTGCAGGCACATCCCCAGAAAGGGATGTGCAAGAGGCAGATGATTGATGATTCTCTCTCATTGATGTTTCTAACTCTCTATCCCTCTCTCTCTTCCTCTCTGTAAAAAATCAATAAAATATATTTTTTTAAAAAGAAAGAAAATTAAAAATATAAACCAGGAGAGGCCACTTATAGGATAGACAAGAACAGGTAATAAATTGATGAAGGTTGAGAAGTTTGTTTAGTGTTTGAATTCTATTTCTTTTAATGCCAGGGCCTCCATAAATTTATATTGGCTTTGAATCTGTACTAAAAGGAATGTGAGTCTTGTACAATGAAACATTTTTAAATTCTACTTTGCCTTACTAGTATATGAAAGCTCCTTCCCTGAGAATGTCACTCTGTTATAGATACCAGTGTTTCAACGGGGTGGAAGTGTAGTGCCCATAAAGACAACTATAGGAAAGTCCACAGGCTGGATGGCTGATTCCCCATATGGACTCCGGGTGGCTCTAAGCACTAAGGTATTTGGAAAATGTTACCTTTACACATTCATTTGTTACTACTCTATCTCTTTACAGTGGTAGCCTCTTGAGTGTGTGACACTGTGTAAAAGTGGTGAACCCCGTCTACGGGATAAGTGCTTCAGATGTTTATCTAGAAATCAAAGCTTTGAATTATTTCTGAATCATTTCTGAAACTTGTTTGACTTACTTGGGGTTGTTCTTTAAAGAGCTATGAGAACTAGAAATGATAGAAATTTCTTCTGGGCACTAAGACCTTTGGTGCTTTGCAACCTGGCATCGACACCATTGGACTGAAAGGTCACTGGGGCCTAAGCAGCCTGTCCCTGAAACTCAGTGTCCTATAAAGAGGTATCTGTACCAATGCAAGATTTCAGGGACACCTCCCCCCCTCCCATCCACACCCCCAACACACACTAACTTCTGTCGTCATCAGATTGCTAAAACACACAATAACTTCTGTCGTCATCAGATTGCTAAAACAACTGGTAACTCCTTGGATCCAGCCTGGAAGAATTCAGAATTGATCTGTACTTTTAAGCCAAAATGAGAAAGCAGATTTGCCCAAATCTATCCATTTGCCCAAATGCACTACCAAACACAAATTCTTATTCATGCAAATATTATAAAATAATTCAGCTTTCTCTTTTTTTTACATCCTTCTTTTCCATCTGTTTCACTTAGGCATGTTTTATTGGGCCAATCTATGGCCTTCAGGCACATAAGAGGCCATAGAATAAGATACAAGATCCATAGCACATCAAGTGTTGTCCAAAACAGTAAGCTGCTACATGGAGTGCTGTGACATTGTAGGACATGCAAAGGGAATCCTCCTGCTAAAAAAAAAAAAAAAGTAGGAATTAAATATCATTCCATACATGGGGGGTATACTAAAGAGAGTTGATCTCATCCATTATATACTAATTTTTTTAACTTCAATTTCATTTATGACCTGTTATCACATTCTAGGATTGTATTTTCAGGGAAGCCTATGCCACTGACCATACTTCATGGTTTAAATTTCTTTTAACAAGGCCTAACTCTTCGTGCTCTTCTTATGTGACTTCCTTATTTATATTATTTCACTAATGGATATTGAATGTATGACTACTTTATACAGCTTGCATATTAAGCTTATGTTTGTCATAATTTTCCACAAATTTTTAAATCTATTATTTCCCTTTAGGGTGTGGCCTTGTTTTTTCAGAAAACTATTATATAACCACATTCTCTATCTGTGATTCACTCTCTAGGGTTCTGCTGTGGGTGAATTGTATCTTGATGATGGCCATTCATTCCAATACCTCCAAAAGCAGCAATTCTTACACAGGAAGTTTTGTTTTTGTTCAGGTGTTTTGAGCAACAGGTAATGACAGCTAAAAATCTGTGTGTTTTCTGAAGTAAATTATGCTACTCTTTTGCTATCCTCAAATACACAGCTGATATATATATATTTTAAATCTTATTTTTTTATTTTTATTTTTTGTCTTCAACATTTTATTGAATTTTTACAGAGAGGAAAGGAGAGGGATAGAGAGAAACATCGATGAGAGAGAACCACTAATCAGCTGCCTCTTACACACCCCCTTCTGGGAATGTGCCCGCAACCCAGATACATGCCCTTGACTGGAATCGAACCCGGGACGTTTCAGTCCACAGGCCGATGCTCTATCCACTGAGCCAAACCAGTCTCGGCCACAGCTGATATTTTAAGATATAATTTAAGAAGTTAATGATCAGAGCCATTTGTGAAGTGTGTTTCTTTGTCTCCACATTTTGGCTGCTTCCCTGAGTTGATAAAGTGGCTTTGTGTGCTAGATGTCCTATAGGGCCCAGTGGCTCAGCCATCCCAGTTACCTGAGGTGGACACTCTTGGTGCACCCCTTTCTGGGCTGTGTGCACAGTCTTGTTGTAGTTAAGCCTTGATTGTTGTTGGTATCGCTGGGAGGAATTGACCTCCAGGTCAATTGGCTGTGAGAATCAGCTGTGTCTTTGATGGGAGAACTTCTGTGCTTGAGACACCCATCTGAGGCAAGACTTGCTTTATTGGGGCTTTGGTGCTCTCTGAGTCTGCCCCCTGAGTGTGTCCCTTATGGATCTGAGGAGTTGTAATCTGGATGGTCCTTCTCTGACCCCTGAGTACACTGGCTCTTGGATCTCCAAGGAGGTGCTAATTTAACCTCTGTCTGAGGCCACCCAGCAAGAGCTATGGAGAGATCTGTAGATTCCTCTTCTTTGTTTGGGTTTTGGAGGTGCCCAGATGAGGCCCAGCTGTGAAGCAATGCAGGCTGCTATGGGGCCTTGGGCCTTCTTTTGGATGTTCTTGGTCTCTCTGACTCAGCTGCAGTTTGATAGGAAAGTTTAGATTTCAAAGGACCAGACCATTCATATGCAAAAGCCTCTGCACACAGCTTGGATGAGGCGGAGTCTCAGGGCAGAGCAAACAGCAATGGCTTCCCGTCAGCCCTGCCCTAAGAGGCCCCGAGTTTCAGTGTCCCATGGTAATCACTGCAAGCACCTCTGGGAGAAAACAGCCCTTGAGTTCCACCTGCTGCCGGACAGTCCAGTTTCTCCCTGTATGAGTCTGGGTCCCCCAGAGTCTCGCCTGGAACTGGAGTTCAGAGTAGTCAGGAGCTTGTGTCTCCCTCCAGCTTGAAAAAGCCAGCCACCTACTCAGTTGCCAGCCCTCTCCACATGCGCGCCTCTGTATCTCTGTCTTCCGTACCTCCTCTGAGTCTCAGTGTGCTTTTCTCTTTCCTTCTAGTTGTAGGATTTCCACTCAGCCAGTCTTCCTGTGGTTCTGGATGATGTCCATTATGTCTTATAGTTGTAGTTTTGAAGTTGTTGTGTGAGGTGACAAGTTCAGGTGTTTACCTATGCTGCCATGTTGGTTTCTCCACAAATTCAATATAATTCCTATCAAAATCCCAATGGCATTTTCCACAGAAATTGCAAAAACAATTCTAAAATTCCCAATTCCAAAATTCACCAGTCCAAACTCCTCTTTCTCTTCTTTTCCTAATGCCATGTACATTTATTTAAGTTGTGCTGACGAGAGAGGTCATTATACCAGCAAGTGTGTGGTGGAGCAGATCTTTGTCCTCGGCCTCAAGAAGCAGCCATCTTCTGTGACCACCCACTCATCTGGTGAGGAAACAAGCCATTTATTTTTGTAAACAGAAATAGCTCAGGTGAAGAGATGATTAGCCCTAAAACTGACATAATGTTAGCCAAGTGGACTCTACACTTCCTGGTAGAAGTCAAATATACTGGTATCCAGAGGCAGCAAGGCCATCCTGCTTCTCTTCATCAACTAGTCTTTCTGCTCACTGTAAGCTATTGATGTTTTTCTAAGGTAAATTAACTTGGGCTTGAAATAATATTGTGGCTTCTCTGACTATTTTTCGTTAAACTGTAGATATCTGAAGCCCTACTTGTTTTGTGGAGTTTCTTAAAGTGCATATGTTGAGATATATCCTTTTTGAGCGTACTGAATTTCTTAGACAAATCACTTTGTTCCTTATAGTTTATTTTTAACCGATTTCAACCGATCTTGCATTCAAACCATGGGAGTGTTTCATATTTAAAAGTCCATGGGTAAAAATTGTAGGCAAAATTCTCCTAAGTAGGGGATAAAGTTTTATGATGAAGTTGGAAAGATTTCAGATACAAAGAAAGAAATTTTCTCTCCTAGATGTTCATCAAAATTTCCCTTTTATTGTTTTGATATTTAGATGGTAAAGATCAGCCTGTGGATTTTACATATTGTGCCGGAACATTCACCCTGAGCCTGGAGAACCTCTCGCTGAACGTTGGCACTGACTGGGAGGTCCACATTAAGTGACAGAGAAGTGCATCTGGTGACGAGTACAGGGAGCTGCCTGCACCCTTCAGCCTCTCTCTCGGCCTTTTTTGAGATTTGTGTTATACGCTATTGACTCAAATAAACATTTCATTAGTCATCAGTTAGATTTCAGGTTTACATCCTTAGATGTATTATACTACTTGTGTCAAAACTCCCCCTCTCCTAGTGCAAGGAGCCCTGAGACATTTACAGCGTTCATGTACCTTTCCCTGCTTCTTAGGCTGTGGCCCCGTTGTCAGCACTGTGGCCCAGTGAGTGGCTTCTCCTTGAGCATGGCAGGATGGGTTTGTTTCACGTGAGTGTGGCCCGTTCGTGGCTGCTTGTCTCTAGCCGTGCAGCAGAGTCACTCTGGCTAGAGCAGCTGAGTGGCGCGAGGCCTGTCTCCAAGTGAGCAGTAGCCTCCAGTATCCCCCACAGTGTCTTTCAACTCCTCAGAGGTGGGCAAAACAGCCCTTTTCTGCCTGCACTGCCTATACTATAGCAACAGGGAGTAATTCTCTCTAGAGATTGACTCAGGAGTACAAAGGGTTCTTTTCTCAGTCATGCTTTTTGGGCTCCAAAATTCCAAATTAATCTCAAAAGTCTAATTTCTTTATCTTAATTGTTTATTGAATACTGTCTATTAAGCAAAAGAATATTTGCAACATGAATAAGCTATAATTAATAATAAATACCATGTGCCCATCACTGAACTTTACAAATAGAACACATGGCTTCGACCAGGGTAAAGCCACTGAGGCACTTACCTTGGGCACAAAGAAGTGTGTGACACACACACAAAAAAACGCATAGTAATAAAAATAAATCATATTTAAAACTAAAACTTAATGCAAAAAATCCATAATTAACCAAAATATCAACATTTTAAATACAGCAGTATTACTGAGTTCTCCTTTCGCCTCTGGTTCTAGAACAGCTTGGTGTGGGATTGAACATTACAACCTACCTGTCCCTCAGGATGCTCCCTGCTCTGGAGACCTCAGTGACTTCCAGCTGCCTGCCACCCCACCTCACGTCCTTAGCACTCCTCTTCACTCAGCAATTTGTTAACTGCCACTTCTGTACCTCTGTTTCCTGAGCCCCCGATATCTACCCCTTTCCCGCTGCCTATGCATATCTGACCTCTGACCACCTGTCCAGGCCAAACTCAAATCCTACTTTTTCACTAAGCCTCTCTAAATACGCTAGGCATCCCCACTCCCCATGAATAGTGACTTTCCCTTCTCTGAAATCCTGACCCAGGTACAATATGTGCTCTAACTTGGCATTCTCAGGGATTGTCCCCTTATGTTTCAGATTTGTCTGCCTTGTTCCCCTGCTAGATAGTATGTTCCTCAAGAGCATGTTATATTTCTCTTATATCTGCCAGAGTACCATTATACTTGGCTTTTAGTAAGTATTGACTATAACTGTTAACTGGTGAATTTAATTGATTAAAAAGTAAGAATTGAATATATTTGTTTCTGATTTACTTTTCTGACAAAGAACTCTTCTCTTTAGAAGTAGTAAACATTACGCATTTCCCTCAGGACATATTTCATTGGGTCAGTTTAGATTTGAGTTTTGCACCATATATAAGCTTACATGGATATATGCAGATTTTTTGTTCCTATTTCTGTAAGTTTTGCAATTAAGGAGAAAGGAAGACACCTACATTAACTTGTTTTATTTCTAAGCTTCAAATTTTCCTTGCCTGAAAACTAAGTGCTCTTACCTAATATAAATGTTGGATTTTAATAGCATGTAAACCTAAATAACTAAGACCTACATTCAGATGGACACTTATTGTATATCTGTTCTTCCATTTAAAATATTTTTGGAGAGGAGAGATCCAAGATGGCTGCTCGGGTAGACATCTAACCACGGCAGCACACAACAATTTCAACGGAATACAACTAAAATGTAGAGTGGACATTGCCCAGAGCTACAGGTAGTCAACTGACTGAAAATTCTACAACAAGAAGGAAAGAGAAAACCAGAAGGAAAATCAGAGGAGCTGAAAAAAAGCCTAAGGTACAGAGACATGCTGCGCGCCCGCCCACACACGCGCACGGAGAGGTCGCAGCCGGAGAGGAGGAGAGGGCTGGGTGCTGCCTGGCGTTCCCTAGCAGGAAGGAAATAAAACCCCCCAGCCTGGGCTGAACCCCCGAACCGACAGCGCTGAGCCCCAGTTATGGGCCAGACCCTGGGGACCCAGGCTCGGGCAGGGGGAGACGGGGCTGTGAGGCGAATCCCAGGGGAGCAGCGTAAAGCGGAGCCCCTGGAGTCGCACACATTGCTCGCAGAGGATGGAATGTTGACTCTGATGCTGGATTGCCCTAGCCGGAAGAAACAAAATTTCTGGCGGTGCTGAGCCCCACTCCCGACCGCCCCGAACCCCAGTTCTGGGCCAATCCCTGGGGACCCAGGCTCAAGCAGAGGGAGACTGGGCTGTGAGGTGGAGTCCTGGGGGAGCGGCTAAAAGCGGAGCCCCCGGAGTCGCGCACATTGCATGCAGAGGACAGTCTGTTGACTCTGATGCTGGACTCCCCTAGCGGGAAGGAGAAAAAAAGCTCCAGACTGGGAGGAACGCGACGAGGAGCAGGAGCCCCAGCCGGACACCGGCCAGCCAGGCGCCAGCAAGGAACCAGGCGACGGGGGCCCCCAGGGCAGGGGTGCCCCCGAGCCTTCGACCGCTGATTGCGGACAATGGAGCCAAGGCCGGGGGCTGCTTCCTGGGCGGCGCCAACCCTGGCAACAGGCTGAAGCAGCGCAGGAGCCCGCGGAGAACAAAGGGGTGCCACAGGCCAACCTGCTGAGCTCCCAGGACAAGGAGGAAGAAACCAAAGAAGTTCTCAATGTGAAGAAATCAAGGGAGAGCAAAAGATAGTAAAATTACTTAAGAAAGAATACAAAGAAGATCTTGAAAAATCAAAGACTAAGTCAGAACTCAACTCAGCAGCCAACATTGCAACATAAATGCGTTTTTTGTTTTCTTTTGTTGTTGTTTTTTTTTTTTAAAAAAAAAAGGTCAGAATGTTGGAACAGTGGCGGCCAGGCCTAGAGTGGCCAGGCACAAGGCAGTGGCAGCCGGGCCTGGAGCAGCAACAGCCAGGCCCCAGAGCAGCAGCAGCCAGAACCAGAGCAGCAACAGCCAGGCCTGGAGCAGCCAGACCTGGGGCAGTGGCAGCCAGGCCTGAGGCGGAGGCGGCCAAGCCCAGGGTGGCCAGTCCAGGAACACCCAGACCCGGAGTGGCCGGGCCCGGAGAAGCCAGGGTCAGAGCAGCCGGGTCGGGAGCAGCCAGGCCCAGAACAGCAGTAGCCAAGCCCAGAGCATCCGGGCTCAGAGCGGCCGGGCCCGGGGCAGCCGGGTCGGGTGCAGCCAGGCCCAGAGCAGCAGCTGCCAGGCTGGGAGCGGCCAGGCCCGGAGTGGCAGGGCCTGGAGCAACCAGGCCCAGAGCAGCCAGGTTGGGTGTGGCCAGGCCTGGAGCAGCAGCAGCCAAGCCCAGAGCAATCAGGTCGGGAGCGGCAGTGGCCAGACCTGGAGCAGCTGGTTGTGGAACGGACCAGAGCAACAGAGGCCAGGCCCGGAGCAGCCAGGCCCAGAACAGCTTGCTCCTCGCCTACCTCCGCCCCAAGGCTGCCTCTCAGACATGGCTGGAAACTTTTGCAGGAACTTGAGGGTCTGCTGAATCAAGTGATGAAGGCTTAGATCTGGATACGTTGAGTTAGTATAACGCTGGGGTGTTGATCTGTGAGTGCCTTGTGCGGGGCCTGGATGAGGTTGGTTGACCTATTTGGAAATGTCTTTTGTGTGAAGTGTATCATTGGGCATGTGGAGGTATTATTGATATGAGAAAATGCTAAGTAATTGATTTACTATCTGAAAAGGGATTTACTATTGGGGAAAGGGAGGGAGGAAGAGACTGAACATAAACTGTGCACCTATGGACGAGGACAATGGGGGAGGGGAAAGGGGCGGAGGGTGGGGTGGGAACCTGGTGGAGTGGGGAAGAAATGAGGAACCTTTGTAATAATATGAACAATAAAGATTGATTAAAAAAACAAACAAAACAAAAAAACCTCACCAATCAGATCACTAAAGCTGGAGGGGAGACTGTAGTTCTGGAGTTTGGTCTGTGTGCAGAATTCCTTTTTTTCACACCTCTTTCAGTAACAGGATATTATAATAACAGAAACACAGTCAAAACACATAAACATCTGGAGATGAATGGTTTTTAGCTTATAATTGACCATCCTACCTAAAAGCCACCTTAGTAATGGGATTCCTATCACAATATCAGGCATTTCACTCTGCTTTTAAGATTTCAATCTACCGCCATGACCAGTTTGGCTCAGTGGATAGAGCGTCAGCCTGCGGACTCAAGGGTTCCAGGTTCAATTCCGGTCAAGGGCATGTACCTTGGTTGTGGGCACATCCCCAGTAGTGGGTGTACAGGAGGCAGCTGATTGATGTTTCTCTCTCATCAATGTTTCTAACTCTCCCTTCCTCTCTGTAAAAAAAAATAAATAAATAAAATAAAATAAAATAAAATCAATAAAATATATATTTTTTAAAAATAAGATTTCCATCTACCAACCTTTGGAATGTCCTGCGTAAGTCCAATGGGGGCACTCTAGACCAGCAGTCGCCAACCTTTCAGACCTCATGGACCACCAGTGGTCCGGGGACCACCAGTTGGCTACCGCTGCTCTAGACTAAATTTCTCTGCCCAGGAAATAGAAAGCCAACAGCAGCTCCTCTGAAAGCACATTAGCCACAGTCAGTGAGGCCATATAACGAGCATTCTAGGAGAAATAAAGGAGACGCTAGCCTCTGATACCAGATCTGCCTGTCCTGTGACCAGCCTTGCTAAAGCCTGCGGTGCCACAGCAAGGCCTGCCAGAACGAGGCAGCTGCGTCCTGACAGTCCTCTTAAGCAGGGCTGATGGTATTAGATTTCTCTCCAATCGGAGGGGGGAACGGAAGCCCTGACTGTTTACCATGAGTTTGCCATGACTTAACTGTAAAATAACAGCAGGTATCTCAAGTTTCCTCAGTCGTAAATGGAAAGAAAAAAAAAATGGTAACTTTACTTTAGAGAAACTTGATAGACATCACCTTAGCCAAGTAATCAAGGTTGATGTCACCTGTAATAAAACACATCAATATCATGTACCTCCAGATATGATTTGATGAGAAGGGCATATTACCTCTGTGATATTTTCCCCCCAAATCCATAACTTAGTCTAATCGTGTGAAAAACATCAGACAATTCAAGTTAGGAGACATTCTACAATATAACTGACAAGTACTCTTCAAAAGTGCGAAGGTGCCGAAACCGGTTTGGCTCAGTGGATAGAGTGTCGGCCTGCAGACTCGGGTTCGATTCCAGTCAAGGGCATGTACCTTGGTTGCGGGCACATCCCCAGTGGGGGGTGTGCAGGAAGCAGCTGGTCGATGTTTCTTTCTCATCGACATTTCTAACTCTCTGTCCCTCTCAATTCCTCTCTGTGTAAAATCATTAAAATATATATATTTTTTTTAAGTGCGAAGGTCATGAGAGGGAAAGACTGTGGAACTGTTAGAGACTGAAGGACACTGAGGAGACATGATTAATGCAATTCAGGATTCTAATTTGGATCCTGCAACTGAAGGAAATAATAAACCTTCTTGGAAGTACAAAGAAACCAAAATAGTCTTGTAGTTTAATTAATAGAATCATACCAACTCTAATTTCTTCATTTTGATCATTGTGCCATGGTTATATAAAGTGTAAACATTAGGGGAAGTTGGGTGAATGGTATATAGGAACTCTATTCTACCTTTGTAACACTTTTGTAAGTCTAAAATTACTCTAAAATTTAAAAATATTTTTCTTTATTGTATTACATGTGTCTCCTTTTCCTCCATTGACCTCTCCCTGGCCACTCACACCTCCTAATTTTTTTTTTTTTAAACTATGTGATTGTGGCTAGCTTCTCCTAGGCACTTTTTGAATGGTATGTGTTATAAGTAGATACATTGCTTCCAACAGTTGTTGAATCAAAGAAATATTTATTGGTGGAAAAGATAGTGATATGGAGCCATTCAATGATCTCTATCAAAACTTATTGTTTTGATAGAAATCATTCCAGCCACAAATATTGCATGACCCTGGCTAAAATATGTTATAAAACTAGTTCTTTATCCTCGAAGAGGCTTCTGGGAATTGAAATGAGCGGCTGTTTATGTGCTTAGCCCTTTGTCCATGGGCTCAGATTGGATTTCTCCCTGATAGTGTGCATTTCGACAGCCAGGTGGCTGGATAAAACTTGATTTTGGACCTGATAATCTGAGAGGGTGTTTTATCCACAGCAATTGGCAGAGCAAAATGAATAGTTCTTTGCACTCTGTGTGTTTGATATTCCCAACCTGCTATGATAAGAGATTCATTTCTGTCGCACACTTAGCTCAGTTGCTAACAGATGGAGCTGGCTTAGACAGCTGAGAAAAGAAAGATCAAAGCACGTGTGGTCCAGAGGCAGCTCCTCCCCCAGGGGCAGCTCCTTTCCCAGGGGCTCATCAGCCAACAAACTTGCATTGTGTTGGCGAAGCAATAAGAAAGTAAGAAATCTCTCCTCGCATAGAGAAATTTCAGTCAGCAGATACCCAACACGTATTGATTAAGAGCCTTCTACATATACTTAACTCTGAGGGTGGAATAGGGAATTGTTCCCACCTTCACACAGCTTACAGTCTTGTGGGCAGACAGGAAGCTCAATAAACAGAAACAATAAAATGTGGGTCGCTGCTGTGACTTTTAAGGTGGGACAGGCAGAGCACTGAGACTCAAACGTATGATGATGGAGAAGAAAACTACCCGCCCGTCTTTGCTTTCCATGCCATAGATGAGTTTGAGGGTGGAAGACATTCTTTTCAGAGGCTCCTTTATGCAGGCAGAGAGACATGACTCTGACTGGAGACCTGTGACCACAGGATCCTGACAGACTGCACCCCTCCCGGTGCTGTGCCCGTGGGAGATGCTCCTGTCATAGTGTGAGTGCTGATTTGCACCAATGAGTGGCTGTCACCCAACCTCATCCAACCTCAAAGTACTATTAAATTCAGGTACTCTCTAACAACATTTATTGAGTGCTTCAGTCAATCCTGACACTAATTTACATGTTTTACATAAATTAACTTAATTTTTACAACTGCATAGCAGAATGACTATTATTATACCCATTTTATAGGTGAGAAAATGAGGCATAGGAAACAAGGAAGAAATGTCACCTAACGGTACCCAGGCCCTCAGTGAGCAGCAGCCCAGGCTTTGCACCTCAACAGTCAGCACCCAGAGGCTGCCCTCCTCTGTCTGCCTCTCCAGGAGAGCAAAGGTCTTCATGGGCCACGAGGATAGCCCGATGGTCCCTCCAGGTGCAACTCCACACACAGGGATCCTCAAAGCTGCAACCCCAGCGACCAAGAGCCTCGTTGTACTCCTGTTGCAGCTGTCACTCCCCACCTTCTCTCACAGCCTCACCTCGGGAACAGGCTGGGCTGCAGTCTGGGACGAGCATCCACTGAGCCACCCTTGGAACGTGGCCATCTCTTTTCAGTCTGAGCAGCAGTGACTGTGGGTCAAAGACAAGGCAGAGGCCAGGAGGCCCTTCCCTTCCCCAGAGCCTCTGCGTTCTCATCTAAGAGCCCTGAAACTCCGTATGACACACCGGGACCTGACCACCAACCTGGGTCAGTATCCAACTCTGGCTCAGATGACTGGCATGGTATGCCTGGATAACCTCTATTCAGGTGCACTTTTTGAAACAGGCGTGGTCCCAGTGTTTATTTTGGGGTAGGGATAGACAAGGGGTGGCTAGGTCAAGTGGGCAAGAAGAGACAACTGAGAGGACTCTACTGAGTCCTCCACCCAGATAGCTCCACTCAGTGCTGATACCAGAACATTCCAGAAGATATACCAAATCCAACTGAAATGTTCCGATACCCTAGAGTTTTAGAAAGTAAAACTCATGCCCTTAAAAGTGCATATTCTACTAGAATTGAGCATCTCACTCTTATTAGCTTTTTTTTTCAATAAAGTTTTCCAATAATTTGGTAACCAATAGTTTGATGGTCTGTATAATGGCCAACTCAATAAAGCATCAGAAGTTCTTCGCTAAGTTTCAGTGTTCAACTTACTCAAATGTTTCCCTTTCATCCCCTGACAGCACCAGCACTTAATGATCACACGTAACAGTCCTCGCAGGGTCTCTGTCTCTCGGCCATGCAGTAGAGCTGCACGCTCTTGCTGTCACACTCAGGATCTTTTTTCATGTCTATTTTTAGTTTTCCTGGTTCAAGCTTCTCCAGGCCACTGGAACACTCGCCTCACTTTCTTTCTCTCCCTCTGGCATACATGCTGCTGGTAGGAGCCCCCCAGGTTAAAATCGGGGCATAAATCCTTTACTGCTCCTTCCTCTGGAGGACTTACGGCTTCCAGATCACGGCTCAGTTTTTAAGATGAGCCCAAGCTGGACGGCATTCTGATGGGCTTGAAACTTTGAAGTGGATGTGGACATTTTCCTCTCAGATGACGGAAGCACTCCAGCTTCCCCTTTGCCGTTGCTTCCTTTCCTTGAAGGTAGCTGTATCTTGTTTTCTTTAAACGCGTCCCTTCCACGTTTGCCTGCCATGCCAACAGTCATCAGCCCGTCTGTGGCCCCACAGACAGGGGCTGGGCCCAAGTCCCCAGGGCCAGTTCCCCTCCCGGCCCAGGGCAAGACCACGGAGGCCGGGGGCGCTAACCCAAGTGGCATCTATTCAGCCATCATCAGCCGCAATTTCCCTATCATCGGAGTGAAAGAGAAGACATACGAGCAGCTTCATAAGAAGTGTCTAGAGAAGAAGGTTCTTTATGTGGATCCTGAGTTCCCGCCGGATGAGACCTCCCTCTTCTATAGCCAGAAGTTTCCCATCCAGTTCGTGTGGAAGAGACCTCCGGTGAGTAGCTTACTGGTTGCTGGTTGGGCTTTTGCCTCAGAGAAGTCCTCCCACCGAGCACCTCCCACAGCTCCACGGTGCTCATGGGCTGGGGGAAGGGGCCTGGCTACAGCTCCACCAGGCCCGGTCCTCGTGAGGCAGGGCTGCTTCCTTCTCTCTCTCTCTCTCTCTCTCTCTCTCTCTCTCTCTCTCTCTCTCTCTCTCTCTGAAAAACATTTTGCTTTTTATAAAAGTCATTAGAACTCAGTTTCATTTATCCTATAAAAATAAACATTCCTTTCCCAGAACATATTCCAAACCATCCAGATCTGGCCTGTTTAAATATCTTGCCTTTTATAAGATTCCTTCAATTTCTTGGGCGGCAGTCATGATGTTCTTCTTTGGTTTGCCGGCAGCCATGTCTTTCTGAAGCATGGAAGCCCCGGAGAGGGGAGAGGAGGGGCAGGCAAAGACTACCTTTTCATGCCCAAAATGTTAGGGTTAGAAGGAGAACCCCTAGCAATTGTTTTGTGCATATTCCTCACCTCACAAATGAGGGCATGATGGCACGCCAGAGCGAGGAATGCCCAGTGAGCACATGACAGCTCAGATTTAAACCCTTTCTCTTCGAGCTGACTCTTCCAGCCTCGGGGTTTCATTTGCAGTGAGCTACCATATTCTCCTGGCTCCCTCCTCTGATCACCCCTCCAGTATGACTCTTGTTCTTAATTCAAGAATTACTTACTGAGCATCTTCTAGACTAGAGCCCAAACTGGGCAAGCGACTGGGGAGACAGCAGTGAGGAAGGAAGACAAAAATCCCTGCTTTCCTGGAGCCTGGAGTCCTGAGGGGAAGGGGAAAAAGAGTTCCTGTCGGGAGATAATGTTCAGGGACCATAAGGCAAGGGGAGCTCCCCCGGTTCAGGGAGAAATCATTTACTCTGAGGCCCAAAGCTATTGAGTAGTTTCATCAAGCTAAGCTGAGGCCCAGTGCAATCCATTAGCCATGTTTTTCCTTCTAACCTGGGACGAGATAGCCCACAACGCTGTTCTCACCTTGAGTGTTCCACAGGCTCCTCCCCTCTGCTGAGGACTCTGTGGTGAGGCCCAGAACTAGCCCCACAGCCCGCAGTTTAGAAGTGAAATATCTTTATTCTTTAACCCAGTTGCTGCCCTGCCGCTAGGGCACTGGCTATGTCACACACACACACGCACACACACACACACACACACACACACACACACACGCCGCCATGCCTTCAGGATAAATCCAAAGCCCTGAGCGGAGATATAGGCCCTTCGAAAGCTGGTCCTGCCTACCTGTGCATTTCGTCTCTACCCTCTCCCCTTGGACCCTGACACAGTCAGCCGCTCTGTGGTTCCAGCTCTTCTCAGGCCCAGAGGCCTTTGCTGTCTGTCCGTCTGTCTGGAATGCCCTCGTTCTCACCTCACTTGCTTCTCCTCACCATCTCTCCAAAACTCTGTTCAGGTGTCCTTTCCTTCAAGCTTGCTCGTGTCTGTTGCCCATCTTCTGAGAGCAGGGCCATTCCTGTTCATCTCTGAGCCCTCCTACCCGGCAGCGGGCCAGGCCTTCCGTCTGTCCTCAGCTGCTGGTGAATAAAACCCACATCTGAAGGCGCTGACCCTGAGAGTTAAGACAGCCCTGCCTGCCAAGGCTGGGAGTTCCTAAAAGCCTTTTCCAACACCACTGCAGAGACAAAGCCAAAAAACACACTGTTTTTAGTGACATTGTTGATGAATTTTTAGCCTTAAAAGCTAGACTTACATATTAATAAAAATGTTTTGAGGTTCTGTTATACTCTAAGCTCTAGATCAGTCCTAAAAGCTATACTGTCAGTATCAGTGTGACATGAGGAGCACTGACACACCTGTCTGTCCCAAACTGTGCTCCCACCACCACCAAAGTCCTCAATTCTCTACTGTTGCTAAAGATCCAGGTGGCTAATCCCATTCTTGGTTAAAATGTGCCTTTCCTCTGAGGTTAAGATGGGGAAAACACTGCCTGTCGGGTTTATTAGCATAAATTAGCATATAGAATTAGAGACGGTCAGTGTTGTAATGAATCCTAGAGATGTGATCTAACCCCCTCACAGACTGACAGGTGAAGTGATTAAGATCCAGAAAGAGCAAATGACTTATGTATAGTCACACACGTTGACTGAAGCTGGGAAACGGAATGACTCCAGAACTTTCTGAAACGGAGAGCACTCTTGGGGACCTGTTTTCCATGTGTGCCACAGGCATGGGGACGTTTGCCAGCCTTGAGCATTCTGGAGAGGAGACGGTGTCCTATGAGAGGCCCTTCCTTCTTTTACAGTCTAATGCACAGAATCATTGAAAGCCAACATGATTTTTTCTTCACAATAAAGTATTACTTAGTCCAATCAGATGAGGAGGAAGGGAGAGTCATTCACAGCCGACAGTAATTCCAGTTGGGATAACATGCTGCTCTTTCAATCCTCCCTCCCAGAAGGAGACAGACTCGGGCCACGCTCCTCTGCGAGAGAGTCGGCAGCCAAACATCTGACTCCTCTCCCCCCTTCTTCTTCTTCTTCTTTTTTTTTTTTTAATATATTTTATTGATTTTTTACAGAGAGGAGGAGAGAGGGATAGAGAGCTAGAAACGTCGATGAGAGAGAAACATCGACCAGCTGCCTCTTGCACACCCACCGCCGGGGATGTGCCCGCAACCAATGTACATGCCCTTGACCAGAATCGAACCTGGGACCTTTCAGTCCACAGACCGACGCTCTACCGCTGAGCCAAACCGGTTTCGGCTCCTCTCCCCTCTTCTAATGTGGTCTGTGTCTAGGAGCGGAAAGCAAACAAGCCACATTTTCTTTTCTTTTCTTTTCTTTTTCTTTCTTTCTTTTTTTTTTTTTTTTTTTTTTTTTGCATTCAGAAAAACTAGTGCTTTAATGGGGAGCTAATAACTACTCAGCTGAAGACAGTTTCCATCTCTACCCAAAGGGTGGCAGCTGGGGCAGCCTTTGCCATCCCACTGGATTCTGAGGGGTTGGGGAACAGGATAAGAAGGGGGCTTCTCAACTCTCCAGCCCTCCCCCACCCCCCAGCATAAAGGGGCAGCCAGGGCTGGCAGCACTAGGCTGGGTCTAAGGCACTATCTCCCACCACTTATAGGCAAAGGGCAGGCGGCGGAGTCTCCGGTCTCAGTCATGTAGTCAAAGTCGTTGATGAAGGTGCATTTGGAGCTCAGGTTCCCACAGCTGGCAGATCCTCTCTTCCCGGCAGCAGGTGCCCTTGATCTGGGGCCCAAAAGGCTTGGGGATGCCCAGGCTCTTGCCCGTCACAATCAGCTGCAGCAGGTTGGGGACCTAGGTCCTTGCGTAGAGTTTCTCGGTCTGCTCCTTGGGGGCACGTTGCTCAGCTGCTCCAAGCACAAGAGCTGTGGGGTGTGGATGACGTCCCTCTCCAGCAGGCCCAGCTCCTGCTTCAGGATGTCTCGGTTCCGGTTAACGCACGTCTTCACGTAGTCATTTTGCTCCTTCATGATGACATTATCCAGAAGTTGATTGATGGTCGTGACCTCCCTCCCTTTGGAAAGGAGTTGGTCCTCCTGCACTTCCTCACACAGGGCGGTGTCTCCATAGCCCTCCTTCTGTTTCTCCTGGAAGAGTTGGTAGCAGGAGCCAGAAGCCCTTATCACTATCAGCCTTAACCTGTGTGGGGATAAAGCACATGAACTTGACCGCATGGTCCATCATCAGCCAGTCTGAACAGAGCTCCACCAGGGTCTGGACTTCCTGGGCGGAGAGGAAGTCCTTTCTCATGTCCCGGCCCTCCTTGCTGGGGTAAAGCTGCCACCAATGAGAATGCTGCCTAGAGGATACTCTCTCCCTTCAACCTTGATGGGTAGGGACACCATCAGGTTCCCAATGGAATCCATAGTGATTCCTCCCAGACAGACAGCAGTCTCTGTATTCCAAGCAGGTGACTTGAATCCATAGTGATTCCTTATCGACCTCAGTGAGTTGGGTCATGTAGCCAATCCCTGGGCTCAGTGAGTATTTCATGGGGTAGTCTTTGAGGTTGGAGACTCGGGGGTGTCGAAGACCAAGGAGATCATCTTGTGGGGCACCTCGTGTAGCAGAAGACCATATCGTCCTGGAGCCACCTGCCCAGGTGTTTGGGGTTCTTGTAGACAGATATCACCTGGATGTTACTCTTCTTGCTGAGCTCGGTCACTGTTTTCACAAAACTATGCACCTGCAGCTCTCTGCACAGTAGATCTCTAGAAACATCTGGGTGCTTGGGGTTAAGAATCAAGGAGCCACCCTGAACACTACCGTGTCCTTGTTCACCAAGGTCTCTGGAATCAACTTCCACCAGGGAGACCGAGTAGGAAATCAGGCCGGAGAAGTTGGCAGATGGGAACTGCGTGGCTTCCACGTATAAGGTCTCCTTCAGGGAGCTCTCCAGGGGGGCAAAGGTGTAGGTGTGCCAGCCAGGCCCCAGCACCAAGTCAAAGGCGCCCGAGTTGTCAGCCTCAAACAAGAACACCTTGGCCTTGTCTACGTCAGTGAGGATCAGCTGTGTCTATGCCGGGAGGACTTCTGTGCTGGAGACAGCCTTATGAGATAAGACTTGCAAAAGCCTCTGTGCTCAGCTTGGATGGGGCAGAGTCTCAGGGCAGGGCAGACAGCCTTGGCTTCCCATCAGCTCTGCCCTATGAGGCCTCTGGGTCTCAATGTCCCTCGATAATCACTGCAAGCACCTCTAAGAGTAAGCTGTCCTTGAGTTTCACCCGCTGCCAGACAGTCCAGTTTCTTCCCTCAATATAGGTTCCCAGATTCTTGCCTGGAACTGGAGTTCAACGTTGTGGGGAGCTTCCATTTCCTACCCACTAAAGAAAGCCCACAGTGCACTCAGCAGTACAGTTCTCTTCGTGTACTCACACGTGTGCCTCCAGACTTCTGCCTTTCACAGCTTCCCTGAGTTTCCACCTGACAGTCCAGATTTACCCCGTATAAGTCTGGGTCC